ATAATGGAGTACTTCCCCAATCTAGCCAAGGAAACAGACTTCTAGGAAGTCCAGGAAGCTCAGAGTCCCAAAGAAGTTGGACCCAAGGAAGCACACACCAAGGCACATCATAATTACATTACCCAAGATTAAAAGATAAGGAGAGAATCTTAAAAGCAGCAAGAGAAAAGGAGACAGTTACCTACAAAGGAGTTCCCATAAGACTATCAGCTGATTTCGCCAGAGAAACTTTGCAGGCAAGAAGGGGCTGGAAAGAAGTATTCAAAGTCATGAAAGGCAAAGACCTACATCCAAGATTACTCTATCCAGCAAAGTGATCATTCAGAATGGAAGGGCAGATTAAGTGCTTCCCAGGTGAGGTAAAGTTAAAGGAATTCATCATCACCAAGCCCATATTATATGAAATGTTAAAGGGACTTATCCTAAAAAAAGAAGATAAAAAACTATTAACAAATGACAACAAATTCACAACTATCAACAACTGAACCTGAAAAACAAAAAAAAAACCTAAGCAAACTAGAACAGAAACAGGATTACAGAAATGGAGCTCTGAGGGGAGGGGAAGGGGAGAGAATTGAAGAAAAGGTACAGGGAAGAAGCAGCATAAATAGTAAGTAAAAATAGGGGGAGGTTAAGAACAGTATAGGAAATGGAGAAGCCCAAGAACTTCTATATACAACCCATGGACATGAACTAAGGTAGGGGAATGCTGGTGGGAAGGTGGATGCAGGGCAGAGGGGAATAAAGGGGCAGGTGGAAGGGATAACTGTAATAGCATAATCAATAAAATATATATTAAAATATAAAATTAAAAGATCCAAATTAAGTTATTGGTGAAAATGAAAACTCTTATGGAAAAAACCTAATGGACTTTTTGGCCAACCCAATACAAATATATATTTACTTCAATATCTATATATATTTCTCTCCTCCTACACCAACTGCCCCTGAGCTTGCATTTCCCACGCAAACTGCTTCATGAAACATTACATTTAACTTCGGGTCAATCTGTTATATTCACTGGTTTTGTAGTGCCGGCACGTGTTGTTTTATTGTGCTTCACAAATTTTTTTTTTACAAATTGACGGCCAGACCCTCCACCAGCAAAACTATTATGACTTTCTTTACTGCAATACTTTTTTATTTTGGTGGTCTAGAATTGAAACCTGCAATATCTCTGAGGTATGTCTGTATTCTATTGTCTCTGCCATGTGTACTCTTATTGGATTGTCAATTTGGCTTCTTTGCAAGTTTTATATTGGGCTTCTGGTGTTTTTATTTTCCTTACTGATTTCCAAAGTTTCTTTGAATAAGTTTGATGTGATTTCCACGCTGGAACCTGATTGTTTACCATTTCTAAAGAGAACTGAATATAACATTTATAATAATCATGTCTTGTTTCTTTACTTGGTCAAGCACTAAAAATATTATGACACCCAACTAAAGAAGTACTTTCAGCACTGAGTACTAACTAACTTAGAACACAGAATCCTAGCTTCTCTATTTCCATGTATCTTGCTTTTATGTCTACTAAGACTTTTAATACGTTCAAAATATTTCATGTGCTCTTTTAAACACTAAGATAGGATCCTTGATACTGACAAAAACTGCAGCAGTGTTGCAACAAGGTGTTATTAAAAAAAAGTTCTAGAAAAACTGGTGTATCACCTATTTTGATATTCTGTGTTGAAGAAAAGTTGATTTAAAAACATTTGTGGCTGGACTAATTTTATCGAACTTCGATGCCCTAATATAGAGCCAAGAGAAGTGAAAGCAGGGGCTCCAACACTTGTACATCAGTGTTCATAGCAGCATAATTAAGAGTAAAAAGATAGAACAACCTATTGACAAATGGATAAACAAGATGTGGTATATACATACAATGGGCTTTTAGTCAATTTTAAAAGGGAATGAAATTCTGATACTTTCTACAACATGGATGAATCTTGAGAACATTTTGCTAAGTGAAATGAGTTAGACACAAAAGTTCACAGTTTGTGTAATTCTACTTGCGTGATGTACCAAGAGTAGTCAAATTCATAGAGAGAGAAAGTACAATGGTGGCTGCCAGGAGCTTAGGTGAAGAGGGAATGAGAAGTTATTGTTTAATGGACAAAGAATTAGTATTTGGGATGATGAAAACTTACAAAGATGGATAGTGGTGAAGGTTGTAGTACATTTTGAATGTACTTAATGCCATTTAATTATACACTTAAAAATGGTTAAACTAGTAAATTTTGTCATGTACTTTTTAACACAATTAAAAGAGATTCATTTCAGAGCTATTGTAAGATGATTTAGGAAAATCTTTAAGGAATAGTGCCTGCAGTTTTGAAACACTTTTTAAAAGGCAAATGACCACCCTGACTGGTGTGACTCAGTGGACTAGATTTCATCCTGAAAAGTGAAAGGTCATCTTTTCCATATCCAATCAGGGCACATGCCTGGGTTGTGGGCCAGGTCCTCGGTCAGGGGAGTGAGGGAAGCAACTGATGAATGTTTCTCTCCCTTCCTTTCTTCGTCCCTTCCCCTCTCTCTAAAAATAACTAAATAAAATCTTAAAAAGACAAATGACCTTTTTCCAACTCCTTCATCTTTAGTGCTTAGAGTTCCTATCACCAATTTCTTAAATGCTTCTAGTGACCTGAAAGTCATGCAGCTATTGAGGGCAAAACTGGAAATATCTGTGAGCTTATGCTATAAAGCTGTGTCTTGCTCAGGAAGCTGGGGTTGGCTTTCCTGGGGAGGAGACAATAGAGTGGAGACTCAGGTCATGTGTTGGAAGAGGGAAAATCAAAGTAAGATGTGTAAATAGTCTGTGCTGAGGGGATTGTGGTCACTGCCTGTGTGGGCAGGTGAATGTAGAGGTGAGATGGTGGTGATGCAATTAAGCAGGTCCAGATCCTTGGGCTTTTACAAGAAGCTGCCATTTACCCTTTCTTTTCCCTTCCCCCCCTAGTATCTTACAAACAACACTTCTCCCTTTTGGATTCATGCAAACCAAGGACATGGAACTATTATGACTGATCTGATAAGAGACATCTCCTTTGTTCTGCTGTAGCTGGGGAGCTGGTGTGGTCTGGGCAAAGCTCATGGTGTGAAGGTTCAAATCCTGACTGTGTTTGTTCTCTGTAATCTAAGATAATTCCTGTGCCTGAGTGTCTTTATCCATACAATGGGGTTAATACCACACCTTCAAACAATTTTGCAGTAAGTGACTAATACCAATAACATGCTTAACATGGTGACTCACCCATCATAAGCACTAAACAAGTCTTGTCCTTATTTTCATTATAATTAACCTTAGCCCTAGACATAGGATCAGTTTGAGAGAAACTGCAGGGAGGACATGTGTAATTGGGCTGACCAGCTAGGTTAGCTTTTGGCTTTATCCAGAGAAAAAACAAACTTCTTATATCTTTACGACAAGTAAATTTTGTAATTTTGAGCAAGGCGCCCACTGAAGTTAGGCTCCTACCCTTTCAAGGAAATTGGGAAATAGGGCACTATCTCCCTAGATGTTTACATGTCAAAGTGATGGCTCCCTGCCATAAAATTGAGGCAAGGCCTAGATAGTCTTCAAAAGGATTTATGTACATACATTTCAAAGAGAGGGTAAACTAGTCTTGTGCCATTTATTGAGGAGACCAGCATACAGTCTGAGAAATGCTAATTAGGCGACTTCTGTCATGTTTTTGTAGCTCCTCAAACATCATATAGTGAACTCACACAAACCTAGAGAGGTGAACCTGCCACACCCCTAGGCTACATGGTATACCATTTTCCTATATGTGGTCAGTCGTTGACCGAACCGTTGTTATTTCGCACAAGGCTGCAGTTACAATCATCAATTTTCTGAAGTACATACTCAAAGAAAATGAAGGGGAGGAAAAATGATTTCCCTTATTTTCCACAGGGAGTATTAAGCCTCTTAATGTTTGTCTTTCACTCCCAAACATTACCAACACAATCTGCAGATGAGACAAAGCTGAGTGTATTGCTGGCTGTAGTAAAGGAGAATATGGCCTCGCAAAACTTTATTTAGCAGTGGCTACAAGCAGCATGCCAAGGACAGAATTAACAAAACTGGAACTTTGATTCCTCTCGAGTCTTACAAAGCTAGGTTTTGATTGGAATGGCTTAGGAACGGGTGGAAACATCAAGCGTTTGAGCTGAAGCATTCAAAGACTGCAAGGGCATAAACTGCCTTCCACTGAAGGGCTGATGCGTCTTTTGGGGAAGTTCCGTAATGACCAATCAAACTCCTGCTTGGCTGGGGACTCCCAAAACAATCCTGTAATCTACAGTAAGAGGATGCCCGCAGCCAAGTAGGCGCCCTCCCGAGCGTGGAGGTGCTTTGTCCGCTGCCCGCCAGCCCGAGGACGCCCGCCGGGCACCTGCCCCTACCCGGTACCTGGGGGACCGTGGTTCTCGTCGCTGACCCACCTCTGAACGGAGAACTCGAGCCTGGGCCACACGCAGCACGCAGGCAGAGGCAAACAGCTGGGATAAACCCAAACTAACCACAAGCCGCACCGCTCACGTGTCCTCCTAGGACTGCCCACCCCGTCTGCACCACGCTTCAGCAGCATTGGCGCCTTCGCTGCCTTCTGCGCAGGCTCACACTTTGGCTCGTGGCCAGTGACGCAATCTTGTACGGCCCGCAGGACGCGGAAACCCTGTCTCGGTCGGCTCACGTAATTGTGGCCGAACCGCCTCCACAGTCGGACATTGGTGCGTGTAAGCTGTGCTGCAGCCCCGCGAGGGGGCGGAGCCTCGCTGGGGCCGGGCAGGACCGGCGGCGGCCAATCGGCGGCGCCTGCGCTGGTGTCGCGCCCCGCCCAACAGGCCAACCAACCCGGCGGGCCTGGTCCAGCGGAAGCAGGGTGGCGGCGGCGGCGGGGGCGGCGGCGTTTGTTCCGAGGTGAGTACTCGGCCCGAGGGCCCGCCCAGTCCCTGCCTGCGGGCCCTCCCCGGAGGACCTGCGAGCCTTAGGGGTGGAGGAGCCGGGGCGAAGGGCACAGCAGGCGCCGGCAGAGAGGGAGGAACAGGCCCGATCGCGCGGTCGTCGCGTCTGCCCACGGCGTAGCAGGCACCCGGTGCGCCAGAAGGTGGGGCCCTGTCCTTGGTAAGTGTGCGGGTCGGAGGAGCCAAGGGGCAGTCGTGCGGTGGCAGCGAGCTCCCTGTGCGGGGCCGGGGATCGGCGCTGTCGGGCGCGGGGCCCACTCAGGCTCAGGCCAGGCTGGAAAGCCGCAGCCTTCTAGTATGGAGGGGAAGACCGCCGAGAGCTTCCCACTATAGGGCGATGCCCCGGGACAGAGGTGCTGCCAGTGTGCCAATCAGTTACAATGGGAGATGCCGTTGTCACCCAAACCGAAATGTTTCTGTTGGGATCGCTGTTTCCCTTACCCTATTCGGGGAAAATGGGAAACAGTGCCCAGACACCACTTTGACTTCTAAATCACTGTCAGGACGCCCCGTAATTTCTCACATCTGCTCAAGGGCCGCGTCGACAGAAGTTTGGGGAAGTGGAGGGCGGCTGGTGAGTATGAGCATCAGTCTAAGAGACGCATCTCTTGATCATTTTCCCAACACTGGGGGTGAAATCAGTGACAGTCCGTGTGTTGGCGTTCTGCCTCCCACATACCCCTCACATAGTCTTAACTTAGGTTTGGTCAGTATTTTCTGTTTACTGTGAAGTCTTAAGCAGGAGACTGTAGATATCATTTTCACAGTAAAATCTCAGAGTGCAGTCGTTTTTCATGTTGTAGGCAGGGTGCTGGTGGTTGAAAGGAGCCAGTTGTAGCCTCAGGTATCATTGATGGAACTGGAGAAGTGGGGATAGTTGAGACTGGTTTTCAGGGAAGATGAAGAAAGTTCTGCACTAGACACTTGGAGTCTGAGATGACATTTAAGATCTGGCTGAAGAAAGTTAGAAGGAAGGTAGGCACTTTGGATGGGTGGGTAGAGATTTAGGAACCAAGGCAAACTTGAAAAAGGAAGGAGATTGATAAGTAGAAGGCTTGGGAGTGAACCTTCAGGAAAAATCGCATATCAGGGAGTCTGAGGTGAGAGGAGAACAAGCAAAGCAGAAGAAATGATCCAAGATGGTGTAGGGTACCAAGGAAAGGAAGGAGAGGAGACCTCAGTGGGGTGGGTGTGAAATCTACAGTGCCCATGGTGGGACTTAAAGCAGCTCTTTGCATTTGGCAAGGTGGGATGAGGGGTATACTGAGCAGTTTCAGTGTGAGTCCAGAGTCCCATCAGGCCCAGGCTTGAGTTCCAGCCCCATCACTTACCTTGATAGTTCCCTTGTCACCTGTGAAATAGGGATAACAGCACACAGACTTGGTGCATGGGAAGCCTATACCAACTAGCTAGCAAGTTTCAGGTGTGGCTGTAAGCATTTGAAATGGTGTACTCATTGAAGCCTCACAATGACCCGCCAGCCTTCTACAAAGGAGCAAGCAAACTAAGGTTCAGAGAAGTTACTTACTCAAGGTAAAGTAGCTAGTTAAAGCTATGGAACTTGCATTACTTCAGTAGAGTAATGATAATTTAAGTTATGAGGTGTTTTGGGCTGTTGGAAATGGCCATGAATTGTTGACTACATTTCCATGAAGTTTTCCCCATGACAGTACTTTTTAAATAATTTGTTTTCAAAGGCAGATATGATTCTCTAAGGTTTGCTCCCAGATCAGCCATGTGTTTGGTTTGGTTTGGTTCCCTGATCAAAAACTAGACATTGTTGTTGCCATAAATTCTTTTATAGTTTTGGGGCTGTGTCTCTAAGCATATTTGAAAATGACCTAGCAAATTTACTGCTTTAATATATTGTCTTAATCATAGTTTTAATCATTTATGTTTATCCTTGGGTGAAATCTCAGTAATATATTTTTTTCACACAAATATTATCTTATCAAGGTACATCACGACTTCAGAAAACTGCTAATAATTGAAATGTGATTTCAATCTTTACATGAGAAAAGTTAGGTTTAGGTTGTTAAGTTTATATCTCCTAAAAAACTGAAATAATCCTCATAACTTTTAATCCTTTTCTTTAGTAGTTGCTCATACATGAAATAATTCTCGTTTTTGTTTTCAAAGCTGTTTTTAGAAAGAAGAAACATGGAAAGTGGTGCAGTTCTGCTGGAATCCAAATCCTCACCGGTTAACCTTCTTCATGAAATGCATCAATTACGCCTACTGGGTCACCTATGTGATGTGACTGTCAGCGTGGAGTATCAAGGTGTCCGCAAAGAATTCATGGCCCATAAGGCAGTGCTGGCAGCCACCAGCAAATTTTTTAAGGAAATGTTCCTTAATGAGAAGACTGTGGATGGTACTAGGACTAACGTCTACTTAAATGAAGTGCAAGTTGTTGACTTTGCTTCATTTCTTGAGTTTGTTTACACCGCAAAGGTACAGGTGGAAGAAGATCGGGTGCAGCGAATGCTGGAAATGGCTGAAAAGCTAAAATGTTTGGACTTATCAGAAACTTGTTTTCAATTAAAGAAACAGATGTTAGAGTCAGTACTTTTGGAGTTGCAGAATTTCTCTGAGTCTCAGGGGGCAGAAGGTAGCAGTGGCTCCCAAGGCAGTGTTACTCCTGATACTGGGGCAGGTGTGGCTGCAGACAGTCCTCTTGCCAATGGCCTTATGGACTCCTTAGACCCCCCGGTGCAGAGAATCAACAACGGCATGTTGCCAGATACGCCCCCAAGGAAGTCCAAGGAGAAGCCAGATAGGAAGAAAGATGTAGTTAAGTCTTCCTACCCTAAAATGAGAAGAGCTAGTGGAAGGCTGGCTGGCAGAAAGGTATTTGTGGAAATTCCTAAAAAGAAGTATACAAGAAGACTCCGAGAACAGCAGAAAAGTGCTGAGGATGATGCGACGGGTTACAGGTGGCCCCAAGAACCCAGCCCAGACACTGTGGGTACAGAGATGGGGCCAGTAACAAAAAATGAAGATTTCACTGCTGAAGTGGAGGTGGGGGAGGTGATGCAGAAGGTAGGGCAAGCGGGGGAGGAGGATGAGGAGAGTGAGGAGAAGAGGAAGAGCAACTTTAAATGCACTATCTGTGAAAAGGCCTTTTTGTATGAAAAGAGCTTCCTGAAGCACATCAGGCACTACCATGGAGTGGCCACTGAGGTGGTTCACCGCTGTGACACCTGCAGCCAGACCTTCGCCAACCGCTGCAACCTCAAGAGCCACCAGCGTCATGTGCACAGCAGTGAGCGCCACTTCCCATGTGAGCTCTGTGGGAAAAAATTCAAGAGGAAGAAGGATGTCAAGAGGCATGTGGTGCAGGTCCATGAGGGGGGTGGCGAGCGGCACCACTGCCAGCAGTGTGGCAAGGGCTTGAGTTCTAAGACAGCCCTGCGGCTCCATGAGCGGACACACACAGGCCACAAGCCCTACGGCTGCACCGAATGTGAGGCCAAGTTCTCACAGCCCTCAGCACTGAAGACCCACATGAGGTATGTGCAGCTGGCTCCAGCTGATTGTTGTCGGGAATAGCAGAGACCCTTTCAAAATACTTTCTCCAGAATGTGGCTTGTACTTAAGTTTTGTTGAAATGTGTGTCAGAAATTGAGGTAGCTCTAGGATTTGGACCAGTGTAGCTACATTTCACTTCATAACTTGTTCCCTCTAAGAGTTTGGGTAGAGTTGCTATCAGATGGCCTTGTTCTACCTACAGAAATCCCATAGTGTTCTGTAAGGCCTCAGGCTGATGAGGCCTTCCCAGCTCCTCCTGTCTGTGGTCACAGCATGGAAGCCTGGACACAGGACCAGGGCAGCAGACAACTGCTGAATATGCCAGTTCCTATGGGTCTTGTCTGGCATGCAGCTGAAGCCTGGGGCTCTCCCACTCCCAAAGGAGCCTCTGGTGTGTATTTTTCCCACTACACCTGAGGCTGATAACCTTTATTTTTCTTTTCCTGACTGGATTTAGAACGTGGGCTTGTAACCATCTGGGTCCCACAGTCCCATTAATGAGCTCAGCTCAGTGAGATGACATTTTAGGGCTTTAGGACACTTCTCTGGTCATGTTCATTCTCTGAGCTTGGAAACTGTATTATTGGTTAATCTAAACTCCAGAATTAGAGAGTCTTTTCTCTGTTAACTTTTGCACTATAGGAGGGTGATACTGTTTTTAAATGTTTCCTTACAGTGCTTAGTATTTGTTTCAAATCCAGTTTTCCACTCTGTCCTAGATCTGCCCCCAAACTTGTGCTAGACTTTGGGGTGGTACCATGGTGTTCACTTTTCTACTCTATATAAACAAGTTTAAAAACTTGGCTTATTAGGAAGTGCTCAGTAAATCATGGTTGATATCTGCTTCATACTAGCTGTGAAGTTAAAATGCTTATACATTTAATTCATTTTCAGAAACCACGTTTCTGCAGCATTTTGAGTTCTTTTTAGACTGGTTATGTCATACACAGTAGGAAATGATAGTTAATTTTTTGGTCATGTGGTTCTTCATAGTCATAGTTCTAGCTAGGGTGTTTGTGGTTGATTATTCTGAATAAGAAAACTTTACAAATATTATGTGATGCTCGTTAGCGTTCTTAAAAATATGCAAAGGCGTGGTCTCTGCCTGAATGGGTTGTACAAAATAAACCGTAAGGCAGGTGTGGGTGGACATTCAGTGTCTTAGGGGAAAACTCCATCAGTTTGTTGTCCTTGTGCAGACGTGGATATGGGAATGAAGATTGTGGGCTTCACTCCAGTCATTCTCATTGGGTATCACAGAACAAACTATCTTTGCAGGCTGGAGTGGAGATTGAATTGCAAAGTGAGGTTTGAAATACATCCTAAGTTATCATCTGAATGTTGTACTTTCAGAATTCATACAGGGGAAAAACCTTTTGTCTGTGATGAATGTGGTGCAAGATTCACTCAGAACCACATGCTGATTTATCATAAAAGGTGTCACACAGGTAAATACTCCTGCTGTTGTGATTGAATGTATTTCCTAGTGGTAGAGGAAACTGCAATTTATTGATTTAGAAGTTGGCATCTACCAAAGTGGTGCAGGTTAAAGCCATGGTCTGTCTTTCCCATTTAGAGAGAGCCAAAATGAATAAATAAAATATGATTGTGATGATGGCCTTTTACACACTAGGCAGTAGGAACTGGCATGTGAGTCTTATGTATCAAAAAGGTATGAAACAGTTCCTATTTCTTTAGCCCCAATTTCCATTTTCAGGAATCTGTCCTAAAGAAATTGTTCAGAGTATGAGAAAAGCTCTATTTTCCTTCTTCTTGCTATTTCTAATAACAGAGCATTAGGAACAACCTGATTGTCCAACCACAGTGGTTCAGTAAACTGGAAAATCTACCCTCTCCTGGCTCATGCCATGACCATTCAGGGTGAGATCTCTGAACATTATGAAAAACACCTGTACTTGAATATTGACTTGAAAAGTGCACAGTGAAGCATACAACCCCAACTATGTTGAACACCTGCACAGAAGACTAGAAAATAGTTATATGATGTTTTAAGGTGGGAATTACCTTATTTCCATTTTTGTGATATTTTATTATGTGAGGAACAAAATTTAAGTTGGCTTTATTCTGATGCAGCACAATAACCCAAAGGTTCAGAAAACTCTGTAGTTTGGCACATAAGTATACATAATCTGTTGTATACTGTAGTTATCATGTTAATCCAGTTCCTTATTTGCTTGTATTTTTAATTTTTTACTTCTGAACACTGTCATATGTTCAAGTTCAAATGCAGGTGAGACCAAGATGAAACATTTAATGATGTACATTACTAGACTAACGAGAACTGGTGTGTAATGGATGCTTTGGGGTAGAGGTGAAGTCAGGGCATACTGAAGGGTTAAGTTAGAATCAATCATTTGATGAAAATATTAATATAGTCTTATTTTATTAAATCCATTATTTTTATTTTGATGTTTGTGAAATCAGGAGTGCATCTAATAATCAGATAAGCCTGATTTGTAGAATTAAAGGATTCAAACTACACAATGTGAAGAGGCATTTAATCATATTTTTCTTGTCTTGTAATCCAATCCAAATTGCTTGGGAGTTGCCACTCTAGAATAATTAGGCATGTATAGCCAATGTAAACTTCCTCTCCCTTTCAAGAAGGACTTTTATTTTTTTTATTCTGAAAAAGATCCACAGAAGTGCTTCTTTGAGAAAAACCTAACAATTTCTCTAAACAAGTTGTACAATTACTGGTTTGAAATGACTAAATTTCCAAAATGTGAGCTGGCTCATGGAATCTTTCTTGGGATTTCCAAGGATATTTTACACCAATTTTCAGCAAGTAGCAAGCATCTTATATAGATGTTTTATGACAGTTTTTAACTAGAAAATGTAACAAGCTGCTTGTGCTTTTGGAGTTCATACGGGTTTTAGAGTTTGGACCCACTCTTCCTGTGTGTTCTAGTGCCTGTATCATTTCTAACTTTGTTTTATCTTTTCATGTAGGTGAAAGACCTTTTATGTGTGAAACATGTGGCAAGAGTTTTGCTTCTAAGGAGTATTTAAAACATCACAATAGAATCCATACTGGATCCAAGCCCTTTAAATGTGAAGTTTGTTTTAGGACTTTTGCCCAGCGGAATTCACTTTACCAGCATATTAAAGTCCACACAGGTATGGCTGCAATGTCACCAGAAAAGGCAAGTTCGGTGTACCAAGAAAAATATCCCAAAGGGTTTTTGAGTTACTATAAAACTTGGAATTTAGCTATAGGAAAAAACTTTAACCAAACTTTGCATGTCATAATACTATTTTTAAATTTTTGAGTTTCTAGTTTCTGGCTCTGAGAAACTGAAAAGGTATGGATGGCTGTGTGAACATTTTAACACTTTCAGATTAGAATAAGGGATAATCTATACATATTAGTGTATTTGCACATGCATACAAATTCAGTCGTGGGATGTGGGAATTTTACATTCCCTTACTATGGAAATAGGTGAAATTTCTAAAGGTGTAATACAAGCTACAGGTATATGGATTTGGTCCTTTTTTGGTATAGGGCATAAACTCTTGGTGTTACAGGGATTCCTGCTTTTCAGAAATTCGTGTTGGGCCACTTCACTTTTATGAAAGACGTACCTTAGTACCTGTTTTCACTAACTGAAAAAAGTGTAACATGAACTTGCAGAAAGTGGGGAATGCTCTTCACTTGCCATTTTGGCTTACAAAAGATTTCATGGGAACAGTGCTTTTGGATCAGGGAAACATGTATAGAGGGCTGAGTTGTACCTGTCAGTTGACCCTCCATTGATCTTCTTCATGGTGTAATGCTGACATTTTTCAGTGGTTTACATACAGCATTATTCCATTTTGTATTCACAATTAAATACACCAGGCTTAAGAGATCAACCAGTTTTCTTCTCTTCCTGACTCAGGGGAACGTCCCTATTGTTGCGACCAGTGTGGTAAGCAGTTCACCCAGCTCAACGCTCTTCAGCGTCACCATCGGATCCACACAGGAGAGAAGCCGTTCATGTGTAACGCATGTGGACGCACCTTTACTGACAAGTCCACTCTCCGGCGGCACACCTCAGTAAGCAACAGTATGACTTAAGAATAACAGATTGCTGGTTCTTAGGTATGCATAACCCTGGACAGTCAGAAATACATTATTCCATAAGATGGTTATAGAAGACAAAAAACAGGTATCTTCTTCCTCTGGTTTTTGTGTTGTGAGCACATTCATAGTGTGAATGAAGTGAAGAGCCAAGTCTTGAGGTCTGTAAACACTTTCTAAAAGTGACAATAGCGGTAGGTAGAAAGATACTTGGCAATTTAGTAAAGGGCATTTGTTGCAGTAGAAACTTAGGTTGGAGACACTATTGCTTTAAAAGATGCATTTAGTAAGTAGCTGTGGGCCTAGCCAGGTGGCTTAGTTGGTTGAAGCATCATCCTATGCACCAAAAGATTGCAAGTTTGGTTCCCGATCAAGGCACATACCTAGGTTGTGGGTTCAAGCCGCACTTGGGACACATACTGGAGGCAACTGGTTGATGTTTCTCTCTCATATTGATCCTGTCTGTCTCTCTCTCTATTCATCCCCCAATCCTTCCTCTATCTCTAAAACCAATTTTAAAAAACCCTTTGATGAGGATTTAAAAAAAAATACCTGTGAATTGGAAGATTTTACAGATATTTGTTCAAAGACACATTCAGTGACTGTTGTGTTTGATTCATAGGTACATGATAAGAATACGCCATGGAAGTCTTTCCTTGTTATTGTAGATGGCTCACCCAAGAATGATGAAGGGCATAAAACTGAACAGCCTGATGAAGAATATGCATCATCTAAACTTTCAGATAAATTGCTGTCTTTTGCAGAAAATAACCATTTTCACAACCTGGCCACAGTCCAAGGGAGTGTATCTACTGTGCATGAGAACAGTTCTGCAGATACAACCTGCAAGTCAGACAATTCTGTGGTGTCTCAGGATGCTCTGTTGGCCACCACCATCAGTGAGCTTAGTGAGCTGACTCCACAGACAGACCTGATGCCCACGCAACTTCACTCTTTGACCAGTATGGAATAAGAGCTGGAAACTACCTGCCAAGCAGGTCCCATCCTGTGTCTTGTGTGACAGTGTATGCAAGATGATGTCAGGAGCTAAGAAATACGCAAAGAATTGGGCAAGAAGAATGGCTTCTGAGTTTCCTGAATTTTGATAACTTGCACGTTTTTATCAAAGCATTTTTAAAGCTTTCCCTTAAAATCCTGATCTGCATGATCTCAGCCACACTTTATCAACACATAAGGCAATATAACCTCACTTAATTCTGGTAGGCTGCTATATGCATTAATCAATCTAATGCTTGATTATCTTGATGTTTGTGAAGTTTAGACAACTATTTACCTTAATAATAGAGTACATGGCATTGATCCAGCTCATGAATTTGCTTTTAATAGTCCCTCTGGTCTCTCAGCCTGCCTTATACTCCCATGTGGGTTTCTTTCTCTGATACTTTTAAGATATTTTTCTATCAAGCTGAAATAAAACTGGGGCCATATATTAATGTTTATTTCCTGTTTAATTGAAGCAAATCAGATTTGCTGTAGGGACCCTTGAATGGGACTGAAGAAATTAATTACTGGATTCATTTCCTTTTCCCTCGCCCCCACACTAAAATAGGAATGACACTTACAGTTAAGTATAACCTCTACTCACAGCACATACACAGCTAGGAAATTTGTCATAAAATAGCTTTTGAAATGAAATGTGGCTGTCCAGTTTCATTCCTAAAAACCTGATAAGGTAAAAGCTGCCCTACCAAAGATTTTAGTGACCATCAGTATAGCGGGTTTTTTTGGTTTGTTTGGTTTTTTGGCAAAGGTGTGGAAAAATTAAGCAAGAGGCTTTACAACACTTGAAACATTGTGTTGTTATTTTACTGACCAGTAGCAATGAGGTGATTATGGCCAATTTTGGAGCACAGAGTATTAATAATTTCTGCCTGGTTTTTCTAACTTAATTTCTGTAACTTTCAGAAACCCAAACTTTATTATTGCCAAATCAAGAGCTAGAAGCAGGCAAGTAAATGTCACACATTTTTTTCCTTAGTAGTATGTGAGAATATAGCAAAGGGACCAAAAGCCTTGGCACGCATCATTGATTATGCCTTAAAAGTAGACTGTGAAGAATCAATAATTTTTCTTAAATGCCCCCTTGGCTGTCTTATGCTGGACTTAATGAATTTGCAATGAAAAGATAATTCTGCTATATTTACTAAGCTTCATTCTTGGATCCATTGGCTTTTGTATGTGGCTGTGACTCCTATGTAATCCTAAACATATTAATTTAAAGACAGCCTTAACGGAAAATTCTTCTGTTCACCAGTTTTCCTACATTTTAATTTATTAACTTACTGTGAAAACACTTTCATTTCTAAGAGAAAGAACTTATCCATAAGTTCCAGGATGATGACAGCTACATCATTCCAGAAACTAATGAGGGAAAACTTTCTTCTTATGTGCTTATTTTGTTGGAGTTTGTAACATGTTACATACTATACATACTATAAGGTATGTTTTAGGTGCTGATAACATGTTTCACACCTGCTCTTAAAGAATAGCAGTATTGAACTAGTTCAAATTCAATTATGACAATATATCCTAGTTGTGTTACAGAACAAGAACTAGTGACTGTCACACAGCCATTGTATTCTTGGTAACAGAATGAACCCGTCCAACTGATAATACTGTTTCATGGAGTAAAGTCATTTTAATGAGAAGGAATTTAAATAATAGATTATTTTGTTACCTACTAGATGAATTTTTGTCTTGAATTTGTTTCTTTAGAAATTCTACCAAAAAAATTGTTTAATGTGTTAATAAACGTTTGCTTTGTAAAAGTTTTACAAATTGTAATGTTTTCTTCCCATTATTAAAATTTAGGCTTTGTAGATTGAAACAAGTATAATTTCCTTAATTTCATGGATAATGAAGTTTAAAATCAAGATTATAGTCCTAGGAGTAATCTCTTTATTTAGAACTGTGTGGACTGGACATTTATTCTTTAGAAGTAAAAGGCTTGTTGATAAGTAATACTAACCTGTTTGTATAGAAGTAACCTGTGCAGCTGGCGGTGTGGAGTGTGTAAGCACACTGGTTTCTTCAATGTCACATTTAAGTTTGCATCATAAAGATTTCTCCAATATATCTAGTTCTTTGCTTCCTGAGAGGGTAAAGCTGCCTCTAAGAATAGAAAAACCTGGAAACCCTGTGGAAGACTCATCACTGAGGGATTTGCGGGGCATCTCTCCCTATTTCTCTTAATCCAAGTACAGTCTCCCTGAGTGAAGCAAGCTATTGTATCACTATGTCAGTCCAGGATTGGAAAAGTGCCCTTGGTGCTGGCAGTGCTTCTCCTAGAGCCTCAGGATAGGCAATTAAGGGAGTGATTCAGTGTCTCAGCCACAGCATTGAAAATAGTCCAAACTCCAAAGATCTCTGCTGGCTGTTTACCAAAACTTTTGTTTTACAGTTTGGGAAAAATGGATCATGTGGTGGGAGAAGACCTTTACTAGAGGTAATTTTTACAGAAATGTGGTTTTGCTGTAGAATCAGATGACAATCTAAACCAACAGATTTGAGTATGAGTTATGATTTAATTCTAACGTGTTAAATTTATACCTTGTCACACAGGGAGATTTTTTGAGACCAAATGAATGATTATCCCTTTAATTAAACTGACAGTATGAAACTTGAAGTAACAATATTATTTCAGTAGGGGGAAGGCACCTGTACAAAGGACCATTTGCTCACATGTACCTAAATGGGGGCAGGTATGACTTAGCAAGCTACAAACACATGGGATCACCTAGCATGTCACCCAGTCAAGCAACAGAAACCACCCACTTACCTTTGCCAATGTGGACAGGACTCTTACCAAGACTGGCAAAACCTGGTTTTTAAACCACCATGTTGGCTCCTTTTTGTTAGGAAATAATGATTCTGAGATAAACTAAACCTTGAATGATCAACAACTTCTCAGAATTTCTAGGTTGGGATGACCTGTTCTACATTCTCCCGCCCCCGCCTCCCTCTGGCCAAAATTTGCTTTGAATTACCAATTTTAAGTTGTGAATATGCTCAATGACCTGAACACTGCTCTTAGGATGAGCTGACCCATACTACCACCCTCCATGGCACCCTCTTCCTCTGTAGAACTTGTAGCCCAAGTGGCCATTGGACCTGACCTTCCCCAGAAGTACATGCTAACCCTGTACAGACATCTGCAAGTTCAATGTATGCCCACACTGCCAACAGGGTTGAGTGGCTTCAGGGTTCCCTCTTCCTCCCTTCCTCTCCCCTCCCCCACCTAACAGTTTTCTATGGACCAATCCCCCCTCAACTTTGCAAGTCCAAAGGATGCAAGCAATATTCCTTATTGGGGCAACAGAAATGGATGAGACTGTGAGGGTTACAGAGTCAATGTGCAAATTTAGCAGACTAACAGCAGACTATAACCAGGCTTGCTTTCATAAACCCTCAGCTTGCAAAACCATTACAGTGCCCTGAATTTCCAAGAAGTAATAGAGATTTTAGCATAGTCAAACTCATGTTTCAAAGGATATTCAAATAGGCTAGAGAATATTAATGCTTATTGCCTTAAATTGAATAGGAATAAGTTCAAGAAAGGAAGCTACTTGTGATCCGTGTAAATTTAGGTAGAAAAGACCTGTCAAAATATTACTCATAATTTCCACTTTATTTACTGTACAGGTTCACATAAAACATACATACTCTTTTCTGCTAAAGTAGATTCATGGTTAGTTTTCATAATACAATCCTCTACCTGAGCATGAGAGAGGAAAACACCACAGGGACCAACTCAGAACTTCACAGGCAGGAACCTGCTAGCATACCACAGGTGGTGGCTCACAGGCAGCAATGCTGTGCTGGCAAACTCTCCAAAGAAAGCCACAAAGGTCTGCGTTTGGATATTTTAAATGCACAGTATCAAAGGAAAAAATAAATGTACACACTTTGGTTATAGTGACACCATTACAACAGTCACCACTGTGCAAAATACTTTTTTCAAATCATTACATTAAAAAGGAACTCACACGAGCTATAAAAATGTTGCCACAAAATGTAAAGCTTTCCTGTAAGAAATGTTAACTGACTTTGAACTAACCCCAGATTTGCTAAAATACAAGAACTGCAACATTAACAGTCATCATATTTTGTTCATGAATAACATCCTATAACATCCTATAAATCCTGAGAACCCTCCTTCAGTTTCTGAGTCATGGTACTACCCTATGTTCAACAATGGAACATTTCAAGGAAGATGTTTGGATACTATTAATGGGACTTTTCTCCTCTCATTTTCTTTTCACCTTCTAGCAGGTCTGTTCTAGTCAGTACACTTATTTTTACCATTTCGTGTGAAATATTAAAAGAATTCTGGACTCAGATGCTGATCTCACTGTTCATTTCAAAACAGATAACAAGATCTCTGACAAAACGAAATGTTGCCAACATTATTTTTAAAAACCATACCTTTTTTTCAGATGGGTTTATTAGAGGATCATGATAAAAGATAAACGGAATTGTGTTAAAAGAAAGCATTTGGTTTTTACTTTAAGTGATCAGGCCAGGAAGTTCTTTTAACAAGTGGAAACAAACCTTCTAGGCTAGTGCTAAAAGAAGCATGCTGGCTGGCTAGGATTTAAATGCCCTCCAGATGGCACAGACTTATGGCCAGAGTACACGGGCTACAAAAACTCCCCATGCCCCACTTTCAACAGAGGTGCATTTAGAAAAAAACTTTTACAAAGCGCATTTGGATGGTTGTGAAACAGATTAGGTAAAGCAACAGCAACCCACTTTTCTCTCTCTATATTCACAAGAGGTTCCAACAGGAAATAAAAAATTACCAAACGATCTTCATTCCAAATTATACTATCAGTGACAGCCAGCTTTCTTTTAAGAATTCGTTACTTCTGAAGGGAAAAAAAAATCCTCATCAGATTCCAGGGCCCAATGCCAGAGTGTCCATGCCTTCTGGTCCATTCCCTCTGCCCTCAGCTGATCTTCCTCTCCATCAGTCCACCTCGTGTACAACATTACTCCACAACTACAGCCAGAGAATCCTCACAGCCACCTCAGAAAGAGCCTCCACAATCTGGCCTCAGCTGGTCCTTTCAACTTTCTTCTCTGCTACTTTTCCTTTCATCCCAGATTAACCTATTCACCATTCCCAAACCTTCCTTCCCACTGTGCCCTTTGGGCACACCCACTCCACTTCCGGTTAACAAAGCCTACTAGCAATCACAGTTGAGGGCCAACCAAAAATGAAAACATCAGCCCTGACCAATGTAGCTCGGTTGGTTGGGTGTCATCCCTCAAAGTGAAAGGTCACTGGTTCAGTACCCAGTTAGGGCACATGGCTGGGTTGCATGTTCAGTCCCTGGACGGGGCATGAACGAGAGGCAGCCGATCGATGTTTCTCACCTTCTCTCCCCCTCCCTTTCCCTCTCTAAAATGAAACAAAATCTTAAGAACACACACACACACACACACACACAAAAACACAAATGAAAACATCACTTAAATACCAATTACTATAACATAAGATGGGGAATTTCATTACTTGTCACTAATGAAAGCAGCACAATTGAGAAATAAACATAGGCTATCTCTGGCAACAAATGCACATTAAACATAAATCATTTAAGCCTAAAAATATGCATATAGGAGATTCAAGAAACAAGGCCATGTCTAAAATACAATGTTAGCATGTAACATGTGATCAAGTTCATAAATCAATAGAGCACATGCTATTTAAACAAAAGGATAGAGTTCAAACACAGAAGATAATACAATTCCATCAACTAAGAGGAAAATCAAGTCCCCTCAGAAGCTAGTTGGAGGTATATAATAAACCTCTGTATCATGTTTACCCTACCTAACCCATAAGATTTAATAAATGGATAAATTACTGAAACACTTTCTCAATGAGGATGTACACATGACTGTGGCATAAAGGATCCCATCTCAATGGAAAAGAGTATGAACATGAAAAAACAGGTACGTGCCCATTACAATGCCTTTATGTGAATAAAAAGAAAGGGATTTTTACCCCAGCTAAAAGCAGAAACTGTCTAAGAAAAGGAAAAATTCTGTTTCTCACAGAGTTTATATATTTGTGAGGGTGTGCCTGTGTATATAAATACACAGCAGTCAAACCGACCTTGACATTCTCACACGCACAAGCAAGCACTGCCAGGAAGTTCCCTTTTTTCACAATGTGACACAGGCAGACCCCAGCTGTTCTGAATTTTAACATGCATGTTAGCATAGGGAACAATATCAAAAGCAAAGAAACTGGTCATTAGCAACATCAAAAGAATCACAAGATAACAACAATAAAACATTTCTAACAAAGTCATAAACTTATTGCTAACAGCCACCCTAAACTAAAGGCATACTCTTAGAGACTATATCCAGATGCAGATTTACAGAGAATATGCAAAGCATCAATTAGAACAATTGGGTTGGGTACTCAAGTTCAAGAAAAAGAACAGAAAAATATGTGGCAAAATTAAACATGGGTTCTGCAAATATTAAATAATAAGAAAATTGTGAAGTAGGTCTCAGAAAACTCTGGGGACTCTGGCAAGCATGAAATAGCCCATCATACCCACAGTATGCACAGGAGTTTCTTACTCATCCACTTAACAATGACACAAACACAGCAAACTTGAAAATCACACACATCATTTGGCTCATGTGCAACAAAATTATGCCATTAAATGGGCATCCCATAAAGATCACTTGGCCCTAAGAGGAAACTAAGGAGAAGTTAACTGCATGCCACAAAGACTTTTAATTGTTTCACTTTAGGTCTCCATCTCCTTCTCCATCCCCTTGGATGGACTTTTTGATACGAAGCAACATGGTAGTAAGCCACTGATCCAAGCGAGATATTGAGTCAAATTCCTTCACCTAGTTTAAGGTTAGAGGAATAGGAATTAGTCCATTGAAATACAATCAAAACAAAACAACAGCTGTTTAAACATATATAGTGATAATCTACCAACTTTCTTCATTTAAAATTATTCATTCCAGTTCCTAACTTTCTTCATTAAAATTTGTTTATTTTTTCATTATCCTCTGTCTATTTTGATGGAGCTATTGATAAGTTTCTATGCCTTTTATATTGCTGTGTATGCTAACTTGTGATGACAAAAATTTCTAACAGCCTTTATAACTGGAAGAAGAGCACATTTCATGTGACAGAGGAAATCAGACCATGTATAAGACTTAGAAGGGAACATGGAAAAATAACGGTGATCCAGTATTCACTGGATATACAAAAGCAGAATACCTTTAACTCATTTCAACACACTAGTAAAAGAAAGACATTTCAATAGAATGAAAATAGTTTTGTAGCAAAAGTTAAATGGGAAAACATTTCTTTCCACTATTGCTTCAAAGTCATGATGAATATATTAATGGCGGATACTGAGAAACTTTTGATTCTAAACATGAGAGCAAAAGATAGGAAAACAGAAGACTGATGAATATAAAGAAAAAAATTTACATTTATTTTATTCCAGGAATATAGCAAACTTTCACTGCTTTGTTTTTATATTTTAAATTGCGTTTAACTGATTTTATTTTACACTTATTTATGGAGCAGATTATTTTCAAAAGAAAACATTCAAAACAGAAAATTTTAACACTGTGTGTTTTTTTTCTTGAATTTGTCTCACAACTAAATTCACCATGGCTAATGAAACTCTATAATTGTATAGGTGTGTAGAATATATAAAACATGACCTCTGGAAAACAGAAGTTCAGTATAGCAGAATAATAAAATAAATATTCAGCATTTACACAATGAAAAGAAAAAGAAGTTTCTGTAACTTAAACCTTCAAAGAATGTACTTTATCACAAAGACATAACTTACTGCTTCAGTGTAAGCTTCACTGTTCTGTTCCTCATGAGCTTCTAGAAGTTTCTGATAACATAAACATGAAAAATTTAGTTTGGTAGGCTAGGAAGTTCCATTTATGAATAAAGATATTTTAAATACAGAAACAACCTTAGTATCACATTAACTGATATTGCCAAATACTTTACAAAATTGGAGAAATATTCAAGTATAAATACAGAATTGCCCAAGTCATGGATCTGGTATTTGTGTTAACATTTCAGAATTGCTTGCTTCAGAACTCAATGCTATGTCCCTGACTCTTAGTTGCATTTGAAACCTATTATGCAAAAGCAGGAAAGATTCTTCAGCAGACTTCACAAAATGAGAACTTCACTTTATACACAGTTCCACCTGACAGCAAAAGCTTTTTTCTTCAAAGTTCTAACATTACTTACTTTCAATAATTTACATTCTCTTGAATCAGTAAATGCTGGAAACATTTCCTCATATTTCTCAAGAGCAAGCTGAGAGAGAAAAACCACTTATTAATATTTGACTCTCTAAACCAGGAAACAAAGCTTTGAACATTCTATTAACTTCAATAAGACTCATCTACATCTTATTAGGTGTGTAAGAAGTGTGGTGGTAAATTCAACATCAGAATTAACACAGGAATCCTATTTATCTGATTTTCAATTTCAGTTAAGAATGAGATAATTTACTGAAAACTCAGACCAGTGTCTGTTGGAATCCATTAAATGGAGTTCATCTTCAACACTGTTCTGAGTCCCCCCAAAAATCACTTAGGCCATTCTTCAAGGCTTGAAGGAAGAATGCTTTTCCTTTTAGTGGTTTTAATGTTGCTCTTCCACCTCCAACTAAAAACAACAAGATTACTCAACTCTCTACCTCTTGTCTCAGCTTTCACTTAGCTTTTTACTTTCTCACAATCCCCATTCCAATTCCATTTCTAAGTTTTTCAAAAAGGAAGGCATTCTACTTTTATTCTCTCCCCCTTAGCTCCCTAATTTCTTCAAGGCAAAACTACTGAAGGAAATGTGGCTACCAGGGAACTTGAAGGGAACAGCTTAGGCACATGTTACAAGATCACAGCTGGGACACATACATCATTATTATTTTTTTTTTTAAATGTACTCAGTTTAGTCTTGCAACTAACGAATATCACCCAAAGGAAGTGATATCAGAACAACACAATACCTGAGTAAGGTATTGAGTGAGGCCTTCTCTCATGGGTAATGTGTATCAGAAAATTAGTACTGAAGAACTGACTCCTTACCTTGGCATTCAACTCATCGACTATGAAGTGACAGAGAGCTGCTTTAAAGAAGTAATCCTTTGCACTATACTTCAACAGAGGATTATCCATGGTGTTTGCTCCAACCTAGGCACAGAAAACGGAGTCAAATTTAAAAGGTTTGGCTTCTTTTTCTTTTTTCCTTTTTAATTTTTAAGTTTAATTTATTGAGTTCCTTTTTTCTTTCTGCTGCATAGTATGCCACTGTGTAAATGTGTCAGTTTTTTGATCCACTCATTTACTAATGGGCACTTAGGCTGTTTCCAGAACCTGACTATTATAAATAATACTGCTATTGGGGTACATAGATTCTTTTGAATTAGTGATTCAGGATTCTTAGGGTATAATCCCAGCAGTGGGATCACTGGATCAAAAGGCAGTTCCATCTTTAGTTTTTTGAGGAAATACTGTTTTCCACAGCTGCCACAACAGTCTGCATTCCCACCAATAGGGCACTAGGGTTCCCTTTTCCCCACATGCTTGCCAGCACTTATTGTTTGCTGATCTGTTTATGATGGCAATTCTGACCAGTGTGAAATGGCATCTCACTGTAGGCTAAAAAGAATAATTTAATCTACTGAGGTGACATTGACTAATAAAACCATACAAGTTTCAAATGTACAACTCAATAAAACATCATCTGCATACTTCATCGTGAGCTAACCACCCAAAGTCAAGTCTCCTTCTATCCCCATTTATCCCCATTTTCACTTCCCCCACCCTCCTTTCCCTCTGGCTATCAGCCTACTGTAGTCCATGTCTATGTGTCATAAATATATATTATTTTTTTAAGAGGTTTGGTTTCTTATATTAGGCATGCTGATTCTCATCTACTGCCATAAGAAAATACTTCTGTATCTTACGTTAGTTTAGCTAGGAAATACATTCTTTTAATATAGTATCATGAACTAGAAAATTTTACTAGAAAAATATTTAATAAAGTGTTGACCTGTTAAAAATGGCTCAAAAGACTTCCACTTGCAGAAAGATGGAACAGACATACTTTGCTCTGTCTTTCCCAAGTACAACTGAAAGCCCCAATTATTTTCTATAAAACAAATCTAAGACTGAAAGGTGAAGAGAAAACTACAGGCTGACAGGGACCCTGAGACACAAAGGAAAACATGACAGTGAATCTCCTGGGTTTTCTTTTTCATTCATATACCCTTGACTTTTTATAGAGAAAGCTAGCCACCTATAAAAGCCATTAGATGCAAAAGAAGGAAGGAAGAGGAAGGGAGAGGAGGAGAGGGGAGGGGAGGAGGGAGGGAAGGAAGGAAGGAAGAAGATTCACAAAAGTCTGCTGTCTCTAGCCAAAAAGACTAGCAAAGAGGCAGATTAGCAAGACAGAAAATGTTAATAACTGCTCACTACAGCCAAACACCACAAGAAAACTGTGGCCCTACCCCCACTCACATTATCAAAGGTCAAGGAGGAAACTAAGACGTCCATATTTTCCAGAATACAAAGAGGAGCTCAACATTCCTGCCAAGGTGGCTTCAGAGAAAGCCATAAAGGTAGCCAGGCCTCCATCCCTGCCAGCTAGTAATAAGCCCACCCTCTAACCCTGTCACTGAGGCAGTGGAAACCACATGAGGAACCTGGTTCCACCTCCATCCAGCAGGAACCAGATGTTCTCACCTCCCAGCTGGTTTCAGAAGAGGCCTAGTGGAGGGTTAAGATTTCACCATGACCTAGCAGTAGCAAGGACAACCCCAGGATAGAGGTAGCGGAGGGCAAACAGGAGCTGGAACAAAATGAGGGCCTATACCCAGATGTCAATGGAGGCCAGTGGGGAGCCTCAACTTCTACCTCCACCTGGCAGTAATGAGGTAACACACTCTTCCCCAACCAGAGCAGTGTCACAGAAAACCAGCTACAGAGAAGGTTTAAGTAATATCCAGTCTCATAAAATAATGTGAAAATGCCCAGTATTCAATTGAAACTGACTCACCATACCACCCCCTCAAAATAAGAAAAATCTTAAACTGAATGAAAAAAGACAACCCGTAGATGACAGCTCTGAGATGGAAGAAATATTAGAATTACCTAACAATGGTTTTGAGGGAACCTTCAGAAAAATGTTTCAAAATAGCAATACAAAAACACTTGAAAATTAAAAAAAAAAAAAAAAAAAAAAGGAAAGAAACATCAACCAAGTAAAAGAAATCCACAGCAAAAAAAATCCCAGAACACATAAAGAACCAAAAAGAAATTTTAGAACTGAAAAATACAAAATCCACATAAAAAGTGGATGGGCTCAACAGCAGGGACAGAGGAAAGAATCAACAAACTGACGACAGAATACAGAACATTAGAAATTACTTACTCTAAACAACATAGAGAAGACTAACTGAAAAAATTAAGTAAATAGAGCAAAGGGAGCTATGCAAGTAACATTGGGGTCCTCTGAGTCTTGGAAGGGGAAAAAGCAGCTAAAACCACACTTGAAGAAATAATGGCTAAAAACATCCAAATTTAGCAAGAAACAAAAGCCTACAGATTCAAGAAGTTTAGTGAAACCCAAACAGGATAAGAGCAAAGCTATCCATGCCAAGGCACATAAACTTCTGAAAACTCAAGAAAAAGAAAAACAAGTGAAAGCAGTCAGAGAAAAACATCCCTTTACTTACAGGACAAAAGCAACGTGAATGACAGCCAACTTTCTCATCAGCAACCACAAAGGGCATACATGGACCTTTTTCATGCACTAAAACAAACAAATCATCAACCCAGAATTGTATACCCATGAAAAACATGCTTCAGGAATGAAAAGGAAATCAAAACATTCACAGATGAAGGAAAACAAGAGGAGTATGTTGTCAATAGACCTATCCTAAAAGAATGGCAAAAGGGCATTCTTTAAACCGACAGGAAACAATAAAAGAAGAAATCTCAAATCATCAGGGAGGAAGAACACAGCAAACAAAATCTGGGTGGATACAATGAACTTTTCTTCTTTTAAGATTTCTAAATTATATTTGATGGTTGAAGCAAAAATTGTAATACTAACTAATGTGGTTCTAAAAGTATGTAAAGAAAATAAGACAATTATACACAGAAGCGAGAGAGAGTAAAAAGAGTGTAAAAAGATAAGATTTCTATATTTTACTAGAACTGACAAAATGAGGATAACATTAGCCTATGATAAGTTATATAAATATAATAGCTACGGCAATCACTAAAAAAGCCATTCAAAGATACATTCAAAAACACTACAGATAAGTCACTCACTGGAAAGCAGGAAAACAAAAAACACAGAAATGGAAAACATATAAAATGTAAAATGTAAGCCCTAATAGAGCAATAATTACAATAAATGTGGTCAAAAAACGCCAAATGACAAAGTAAATTAAAAAGCATGACTTAACAACATGCTGTCCATAAGACACTCACTTCACAGCCCTGTCTGGTGTGGCTCAGTGGATTGAACGCCGGCCTGCGAACTAAAGGGTTTCTAGTTTGATTCCCAGTGTAGGGCTCATGCCTGGGTTGCAGGCCAGGTCCCCAGCAGAGGACTCACAAAATGCAACCACACACTGATGTTTCTTTCCATCTCTTTCTCCCTCTCTTCCCCTTTCTAAAAATAAATAAATAAAATCTTTAAAAAAAAAAAAAAAGACACTTTAATGACATACAGAGATTGAAAGAAAAAGAGTACAAAAAAGTATAAGTAAACATTAATCAAAAGAAAGCAGGAGAGGCCATATTATTATCAGAAAAGTAGACTTCAGAGTAAAGAAAACTATCAGAGACTAACATTATACAGGGTGGGCAGAAGTAGGCTTACAATGGTGAGTACACAAAACACAGAATTTATTCTTGTATTATTATGTATTAACTACTGTATTATTTTCCATATGAACTGTAAACCTACTTTTGCACCACCCTGTAAAATGATAAAAGGGTCAATCCACCAAGAAGACACAGCAATTCTAAATATCGATGCAAGCAACAAAGTTGCAAGATATGTGAAGCAAAAACTGATAGAAATGAGAAATAGACAAACCCATAATTTGTTGGGAACCGTCCCGCCTGGTTTCAGGAACTGTAGCTTTGCCGACAGGCGAGATGGCCCCATGGCTGGAGCTGAGCAAGGAGGCTTTGGGAAAATAGGCCACTGGGGAGAAAAAACCTGTCCCCCTGCCTCCCTCACATCACCCTGCTTGGCCCCAGAAGATGGCTGGTTAGTCAGTGATGGGTAAGACCCTTCGATGACAGGAGCAACCTAAGACAGGCACAGTTGCACAGGGGCCATCAGGGAAGGACTTGGGAGACACAGAGAAGGAGCAAAAGACCCTCACCCCTCGGTTTTGTCATGGTCAGAGTCCTCATTCTATCTGAAAGAAGTCTCCTTATCTCTTGGCTGCTCTACTCCACCAGCCTGGATCAGGCTTGAAACAATACTAAAGGTAGATACAGCCCTAAACTGGATGACGTGCCAATGGGGACAATTAGGCCTAGAAAAGGAATGCATTAAATCCTATGAAACTTACTTTGCTAAGAATGCCCTCGAGTTAATGAGTACTGATATTTGGGGTCAAGCATAGAATGTGATCAGTTTCCCATGTGATCAGTTTCCCAGGTTTCAGGGTTGAATGGGCACCACTCTGTCTACCAGACCCTGCCCTGAAGCAAATCTTTGTGTGTTTTCAATTGTTATCTAGGATCTCTGTTTTCTGTAAACATAGCCTTTTGACATTGATTGATGAGCTTTGCATTCAGGCTGTATATCATTCTCAATAAAAGCCACTTAAAGAGAAGGGCTGGGGCATTCTCCACTAGAGGGAATTACCATCCCCTTTTCCTGGCAGACAGAGAAGTGTCTGGAATGACTTATTTTCCTCCATCCGCGGTGACCCAGAGGGACTCCGCAGGAATAGGGTACACCCATTATCTGGCACCCAATGAGGAGCCCCCCTATATCTGATGGACTTGAACTTCAGAGAACTTTGTAGGCCGAGTCTCCCTTAATAATTATAGTTGGAGACATCAACATTCCAAGCTGAACAATGGATATATATAGAAAGAAAACTGACAAATATATAGAACTCAACACCACCACCAACCAAAAGTATCTAATTAACATTCATAGAATGTCACCCAGGAGAGCAGAACTACAGAACATATGCCAAGAAAGACCATATTGTGGGCTATAAAGCCAAATGCAACAAATTTATCGAAAGTGAAATCTTAGTGTTCTCCAGAAACAATGGAGTCAAATAGAAGTCAGCAACAGAAAGATAACAGGAAAATCTCAAACACTTGAAAATTAAACAAAACCCATGGATATCAATAAATCCAATGAAATGAATTTTAAAAAACAGACCAATGTAACAGAATTGTGAATCACCCCAAAAGTGCTAACAGGGAAATTGATAGCACTAAAATTGCATGCACACAAAGAGGAAAATCATTAAGCCAAGTTCCCACTTTAACTTGCTACCAAAAAAGCAAAATAAATCCAAAAAACCTGGGAGAATGGAATTAATAAAGGTAACCATGACAACCAATAATTGAAAAACAGGAAAAAAATACAGAAAATAACTGAATTCTACCAAGTGTTTAATGAATGAACGCTAATCTTTCACAAACTCTTCCAAAAAAAATAATAACAAGCAAAAAATGGGAATTATTTTAAAAAATAAGAAGAAATGAGAGTACTTCCCAACTCATTCCATCAGGTATTATTACCTTGTTACCAAAAGCAGACAAACACATCTCAAGAAAACAAAATTAAAGATCAATGTCCCTTATAAATATAAATGCACAATCCTCAACAAAATACTAGCACACCAATTTCAGCAATTTACAAAAAGAATTACATAACTATAAAGTTAAGGATTTTGTCTAAAGTGAGGTCTGGCCTTTGTCGATGACTCCTGGGAGGTAATCTCTTAAACCCTCGGAATGCCCTGACTGGTAAAAGTGTTTTGGTTTACTTAGGGGCCTTGGGCAATGTGGTTGAACTCACCTTGTGGAGGAACTGGAGGGACTGAAGAATATGGTCAGCCACATGCATGGTCAACCACATCTACATGACTGAGCCCCAATAACAGCTTTAGACACAACATTCAGGTGAACTCCCCTTGTTGATGACACTCTAAGCATATTTTCAGACACTCTACACATATTTCCACATATTGTTCAACGAAGCAGTGCTATCTGTACAACTCTACCTGGGAGGACAATAGGAAATTCCATACTTGGAACTCTCCTGGATCCTGCCCTATGACACTTCTTACTTTAGCTGATTTCAATCTGCATACTTTTTATAGTAAACCATAACTGTAACAGCTTTCATTGAGTTCTATGAGTCCTAGGGAATTACTGAACCTGCAGGTTTTCTTGGGGACCCCTAAACTTCACAATGACCAATTATGATTTGTCCCAGGAATATAAGGTTGGTTTGACATATGAAAAACAATGAAATATACCATCTTAATAGAATTAAAGGACAAAAACCACATGATCCGCGCAACAGATGTACAAAAAGCACTTGACAAAATGCAATACCCTCTGATGATAAAATACTGGGAAAAAAGGGAACATCCTCAAGCTAATAAAGAGCATATATTAAAAAACCCACAGCTAACATCATATTTAATGGTGAAAGACTAAAAGTTTTCCTCCTTAGATGGGAACAAGAAAAGAATGTCTATTCTTGCTACTTATATTTAACACTGTATTGGAAGTTATAGCCAGCACAAATGACAAAAAAATGAAGTAAAGGAATTCAGATGGAGATAAATTAGTAAAACTATTGCTATTGGCAGATGACATGATGTTGTATATAAAAACATCCTAACGAATCTACAAAACAAACACTGGAGCTAATAAACAAGTCCACCAATGTTTCATATATAAAACTAGTAATTAACAATCTGAAAAGGGAATTAAGAAAACAAATTCCATCTATATTAGCATCAAAAGAATAAAATACTTAGAAGTATATTCAACCAAAGAAGGGCAAGGCTTGCACACTGAAAACTATAAAATAATGAACAAAATTAAAGATATAATAAATGAAAAGTCATCTTATGTTCACAGATTGTAAGACTTAATATTAAGATGACAATACTTTCCAAATTGGTCTACAGAGTCAATGCAATCCCATTAAATCCCAGCTGGTTTCTTAGCAGAGGCAGACAAACTGTTCCTAAAATTCATATGGAAATGCACAAAATCCCCAATAGCCAAAGCAATCTTTAAAAAGAAGTTGGAAGACCCACGTGTTCTGATTTCAAAATTTACTACAAAGCTACAGCAATCAGTGTGATACTGGCATGAAGGTTGACATATGGATCAACAGATTAGGACAGAGGGCTCAGAAATAAACTTTTGCATATTGATCAAATAATTTTCAACACAGTACCAAGACCATTAAATGGCAAAAGGGCAGTGTATTCAACAAACAGTGGTGGGAACACTGAAAATCCACAGGCAAAAAGGAATGCAGTTGAATCCTTAACTAACACCATATATAAAACATTAACTCAATATGGATCAAAGATCAAAAGCTAAGAGCTAAAACTAAAAAACTCCTAGAAAAGCTTCATAACCTTGGGTTTGGTAATTTCCTGGATACAACATGAAAAAGACAAGCAAGAAAAGATAGAGAAACGAGACTCAATACAAATTTAGAACTTTGTGCATCGAAGGATAACTAACAACGGAGTAAAAGGGCAAACCACAGAATGGGAACCAATATTTGCAAATCACTTATCTGATAAGGGATTAATATCCAGAATATATAAAGAACTTCTAAAACTCAATACCAAATAACTGATTCCAAAAATGGGCAAAGGAACTGAATAGACATTTCTTGACGGAAAATATATGCATATGAATATTCAATAAGCACAAGAAAAGATATTCAGCATCGCTAATCATTAAGGAAATGAAAACCAAAAACAAGATGTTGTTTCACATTCATTAAGGTGATTATTATTAAACAAACAAACAGAAAACAAGAAGTATTGGTGAGACTATGGAGAAACTGGAACCCCTGTACATTGCCCGTGGGATGGTGAAATGGTGTGGTAACTATGGAGAACAATTTGGCAGTTCCTCAAAAAGTTAAAAATGAATTTACCACATGACCCAGCAATCCCAATCCCAGGTATATAGCCCAGAGAAGTGCAAATATACCTCCCCCCAAAAAAAACTTGGTCAAAAGTGTTTATAGCACCAAGGATTCATTAATAGCCCCAAAGTGAAAACAACCCAAATTTCCATCAAATAATAAGTGGGTAAACTGTGTAATATTACTCAGCTATGAAAATGAGTGAAGTATCAATACATGTCACAACGTAAGTGAACTTTGGAAAAAAAAGCTAAGTGAAAGAAGCCAGTCACAAAAGCCACATAGTATATGATTCCTTACATGTTAAAGGCCTAGAATCAACAAATACATTGAGACAGACAACAGACGGTGGTTTCCAGGGACTGGGAGGAGGAGAAAATGGGGATTCTTTTGAGGATGATAATGTTTTGGAATTAGGAAATGGTGATGATTATACACACTCCTTTGTGAATATACTAAACACCATAGACATAGTACTCATTAAAAGGATGAATTATATAATATATGAATTATATCTCAATAAAAAAAAAAGATCCAGAGTAAATTTTACCAGAAATTAAAGAGGCAGCAATAACCTCACCTGCTCATAGATCTCGATGGCTTTCTGATATTGCTCAAGCTGGGCAGCATATGCTGCCACCTTCAGCAGACATTTATTAGCTGAACTGAAATCAAGAACCAGAGTAGAGTAAGTAACAAATTGACAGAGAAATAAAAAGATATCCCAGTATACCTTCATTTGATAGAGTACAATACATTCAGAGTATAGTGAAGATTTGTTTTTTATCACACTTGCCTGTTGGATTCTTCTCCTTTGTAATAATCTGCCGATTGTTCATAATGTGCAATAGCCTGAAAACACACACATATATTATTCTAACTACTTGTTTAAAAAGCTGCATTTAAAATATTACATTTGCATAGGTAGTTTTCTTATAAATAAATCTATCCCAACCGTAAACCCTTCACAACTAAGCCGACTTTATTTAAGGAACAAAAATACATGCAGCTCTGGAAGCCTGGTAGCAGAATGCTGGCAGTTTAAAGTTTCTTCTCTTCTTCCCCCAGGGCAAACCCAGCTATACCATTTTTTCCAGCTTGTAGTCCTTTTAGGGTAGCCACAAGACCTATTCTTTCCAATGGAATGTAAATAGACACGTTGTAAACTACTTCTAGACTTGGTCCATACATCTGACTGCAATCTTTCCCAGGCCTTTTCTTTTTCTTATGAGCTAGAATGTCAATGGCCAAGTCTAGGATAACAATGGAAGCCAAAAGCTAAAGATGGTATAACTTTTGTCTGCCTGGATCCTAAGTAATTACAAAGGGCAGAATGGACCCCAACCCCCATGCCTCCACCACTGCTAAACCCAGAACAGCTACACTGGATTATTAACTTTGAGATCTGTGGAGTCCTATTAAATTTAGATTTATGGCTTGCTAAAGACTATCTTTAATCATAGCATAAGTCTCATCTGAAATAAAGGTGTTGTTTAAAATCTAAATTGTGTGGTGCTAAATAAACAGTGAAATGGAGAGGAAACAGAGGTTGCAGGCTTGGAAGCTAGAAGCTCTTGTCCTGTTGTGGCATAAGACTTAGTAAAATCAAGCATGTGACAACTAAAAAGGCAAAACACACACCTACTGGAGCTGGAAACTCTGTGGAAATAAAGTCTATGGAAAGAGCCAAATGACAGTGTGCACTACTATTTCAGCAGGGTTTTATAGGAAAAAAAAAACCAATTCAAGCAATTAGTCATTTTATGGATAATTATGAAGGGAAACATACAAAGTGCAGAGAAAGGGTCTCATAAAATTGGAAAGGCCAATACTCTAATAGTAAGAGGTAAGTCTGAACAATGTTTTAGATTATGGGTCTAGAAAACTTTTCTGTATCAGGCCAGATAATAAATATTTTAGGCTTTGTGAAGTATAGATTCTGTTTTCACTTCTTGTCTCTCCTGTGGTAGCACAATTATAGCCACAGATGATACATGCATGAACAAGTGTTCCTATACGCAAATAAACCTTATTCATGGACAATAAAATTTCAGTTTCATTTAATTTTTATGTCAGGAATGCTTTTCCTTTCAATGATTAAAAAATGTGAAAACCACCTTTAGCTTGCAGACATAGAAAAACAGCTGGTTGGTTTGTAGATCCCTGCCTTACATTTCAAGAGTTTTCCAGTAAACCTCAAAGAAGCCTATGTGAAAATCAGATTACAGGTGCTGCCAATCAGTTCAATGGCTTCATAGTAGCCCTAATGAGTTAAGAGAGGCCCAGAGATAGGAGGTAGGTGGAGTTCAAGGGCTGGCATAAATATCACCCCCATTTTTTATTACAAAATCATAAGCATGGACTTCTATAACGTAACAACATCACACTCAAGCACACCATATGACATTTTAGGTGAAATGTTCAAACTAAAACTATAAATTGTTACACCTATATTATTACTCTACCAACCACACTCAAGCAGGCTTTATTTCTGCTGGACCCTGTATATTGGGCTAGTCAAAAAGTTTGTTTAGTTTTTTTCCAATACAATGGCTCTAGTAGTGCTTAGTTGTCTTTAACTTCATTCGAAACAATTTTGTTAGACTGTATTGATTGTATTATAGTTGTCATATCAGGGTACATTTAAAAAAACATCGAAATTGGTGAATTTTTATGCAGCCATTTTAATACTGAAGACGAAAGAAGATACGCAACATTTTGGCATATTATGCTTTACTATTTCCAAAAACAATAAAAATGCAACTGAAACACAAAAAAAGATTCATGCCGTATATGGAGAAGGTTCTGTGACTGACTGAACATGTCAAAAGTGGTTTGTGGTTTCTTGGTACTATTGACATTTTAGCCAAATAATTCTTTGCTGTGGGATTGTCTTATGCATTGGAAGATGTTTACCAGCACCCCTGACCCCTACCCACTAGAAGCCAATAGCAGGAGATAGCTAACATACTCAAAATATCCAAATCTATAAAGTTTTTATTGAAAATGAAAAATGTGTTTTTTATTTTACGGAAAAAACTATGGATTTTTTGGTCAACCCAATAACATGCTAGGAAACTGTATTAGGAAACCATTCTGGTATAGTTACAGGCACAGGGACTGACTGGAAGCAAACAGACCCGGCCCATAAAGCATAAGGTCCCTTTCCTGCAGGTGGTAATGGTAATAACAAAGAATGCAGAGCCACTGGCTAAAAGGGGCAGAGCCAATTATCAGCCTTGACTAGACTGCAGTTTTTGACAAAACCGTAAGTTTTGTGAAACATAGACACTTCTGTGTTTGAGCAATTATGCTTTGGGTCTATTTGTTTCAGCCGCTCAGCCTACCCAAAATAATATGCACCCCCTTCACCCACAAATTTTCTCAGCATTGTTTATAATAGGAGAAAAACTGGAAACAATTTAAGTAGTCATGTATAATGGGCTACTGTGCTATGATTAAAGGTAATGGATAGAAAATTCAATATAGAAAGTTCTTTATGAAATATTAAACCCATAAAAGAACAGGTATATTAGTCATCTTTGTACAACTATATAGACACATCCAGAAGACATGAAGACATCTGGTAGAACATATTCCCTTGATGCACATGTCAGAGCTGTAACATACATACACATGTAGGCTTATATGATAAATATACATCTTCTTCCACTAAAATATAAGCTCTGTGAAGGCAAGTCTCATGATGGTTTTGCTCACCATTATGTCTCTAAGCCTTCCATAATGCCTACCACACAGTAAGTGCTCAATAAACACTAAGGAAGTGAATGTAAACTGCATTTCAAATGAAGGCCCTCTATCAAACTATTGCCAATAGTTTGATTGCTTTGGAATACCCAGGAAAGCTTTTCACTGAATTTATGATTAATCAAAAATAATCTCTTTAAGACACTACAAAATGAAAAAGGGAACAATCCAACAATAGGATATTAACCCTAGTAAACATTTATGCACCATAAAATATGTAAGGCAAATTTTCATGGACATAGAAGGGGAGACTAACATAAATACAGTCATAGTAGGAGATTTTAACACCCCATTGACATCAATTAAGAGAAAATCAACAAGGAGATGACAAGCTTAAATGATACTAGAATAGATTATCTTCAGAGCATTTCACCCCAAAGCAGCAGAATATACATTCTTTTCAAGTGCACACGGAATGTTTTCTGAAATAGACCATTAGTTAGGACACAAAACAAGTCTCAATAAATTTAGGAAGACTGATATATCAAGCATCTTCTCTGACCAAATGCTATTAAGCTAGATAGAAATCAATGACAAAAAGAAAACCAAAAAACACACAAACATATGAAAGTTAAATAACATGTTATTGAACAATGAATGGGTTAACAATGAGATCAAGGAGGAAATCAGAAGCTTCCTTGAAACAAATGAAAATGAGAACACAACAACCAAAATCTGTGAGACAAAGGGAAGCAGTCCAAAGAGGGAAATTCATAGCATTATAGGCCTATCTCAAGAAACAAGAAAAAGCTCAAATACACAATCTAACTTTTACACCTAAAGAAAACTTGAAAAAAAACAACAAAGCCCCAAATGCGTAGAAGGAAAAAAACAATAAATATCAGAGAAGAAATAAACAAAATAGAGTCTAAAAGAACAATACAAAAGAACAGTAATTCCAACTTGTTCTTTGAAAAGATAAGCAAGACTGATAAACCTTTAACCAGACTTATCAAGAAAAAAAGAGGACCCAAATAAATAGAAATGAAACAAGAAGTAACAACTGACACCAAAGAAATATAAAGGGCTGTAAGAAAATATTATGAACTATGTCAATAAATTGGACAAATGGACAAAATAGATAAATTCCTAGAAACATACAATCATCCAAAACTAAATCAGGAAGAATCAGAGAATCTGAATACACAAATTAAAACTAGCAAAACTGAAGCTGTAACCAAAAAACTCCCAACAACAACAACAAAAAAAAGCCCTGGACTGAATTACTTTAAAGGTGAATTTTACCAAAAATAAGAGATCTAACACATATTCTTCTCAAACTACTTCAAAAAATTCAAGAGAAGGGAAGACTCCCAAGCTCAAATAATGAGGCCAGCATTATCCTAATTCCAAAACCAGATATGGACACTACAAAGAAATAAAATTAAAGGCCGATATCCCTGATGAACATAGATGTTAAAATCCTCAGAAAATATTAGCAAACTGAATACAGCAATACATCAAAAAGATCATACACCTTGATCAAATGGAATTTTTTCCAGGGATGCAAAGTTGGTACAATATCTGCAAATCAATAAACATTAAGATACCACATAAACAAAATGAAGGGTTAAAACCACATAATCATATCAACAGGAGCAGAAAAAGCATTTGATAAAATCCAGCATCCATTTATGATAAAAATTCCCAGTAAAGTGGGACTAGAGGGAACATACGTCAAGGTAATACAGGACATACATGACAAACCCACTGCCAGCATCATACTCAGCAAGCAAAAATTACACGTGTTCCGCTTAAGATCCAGAATAAGACAGGGATGTCTGCTTTTGCCACTCCTATTTGACAGAGTACTGCAAGTCCTAGCCACAGCAATCAAATAAGAAATAAAAAGCGTTCATACTGGAAAGGAAGAAGTAAAACTGTCATTGTTGGCTGATGACGTGATACTCTATATAGATAATCCTAAAGATTCCACCAAAAAAATACTAGAACTGATAAATGAATTCTGTAAAGTAGTGGTAAATAAAACTATTATCCAGAAATCAACTGCATTTTTATACACCAATAATAAACTATAAGAAAGGGAAATTAAGAAAACAACCCCATTCACAATTGCTTCAAAAAAAGAGTAAAATACCTAGGAAGAAATCTAACCAAGGATATAGAAGAGCTATACTCACAAAATTATAAGACACTGGCCATGGCTGGTGTGGGTCAGTGGACTGTAAACCAAAGGGTCACTGGTTTGATTCCCAGTCTGAGGCACATGCCTAGGTTGTGGGCCAGGACCCCAATAGGGGGCATGCAAGAGTCAACCACACATTGATGTTTCTCTCCCTCTCTTTCTCCCTCCCTTCTCCTCTCTAAAATTAAATAAATAAAATCTTTAAAAAAGTAAAAAAAATTGTAAGACATTGAAGAAATTGAAGAAGATACAAATAAGCACAGCACATATCTTGTTCATGAATAGGAAGAATTAACATCATTAAAATGGCCATACTACCCAAAGCAGTCTACAGAGTCAACACAATTCCTATCAAGATACCAATGACATATTTCACATAACTAGAACAAATATTTCAAAAATTTATATGGAACCACAAAAGGCCCCACATAGCAACAGCAATCCTGAGAAAAAAGAACAAAGTTGAAGGAGTCAGTCACACTACCTAACATCAAACTATACCATGAAGCCACAATAATCAAATCAGTGTGGTACTGGAAAAAAACAAACAAACAAACAAAAAACACAGACATACAGATCAATGGAAAAGAATAGAGAGGCTAGAAAGAAACCCAATCCTTGCCATGACTGGTATGGTTCAGTGGGTTGGGCATTATCCCTCAAACCAAGAGTTCAATGGTTTGATTCCTGGTCAAGGCACATGACTAGGTTGCAGGCCAGGTCCCTTGTTGGGGGACTGCTAAAGACAACTGATCAATGTTTCTTACACATGGATGCTTCTCTTCCTCTCTTTCTCCCTCCCTCTGTTCCCTTCTCTTTAAAAATAAATAAATAAATTCTTTAAAAAAAAGGAAAGCCCACAACTTTATGGTCAATTAATATTTGACAAAGGAGTTAAAAATATACAATGGAATGAAGATAGTTTATTCAATAGATGGTGTTCGGAAAACTGGACAGGTACGTACAAAAAAATGAAAGTAGATCACGTTTTTATACCACACATAAGAATAAACTCAAAATGGATTAATGACTTAAATGTTAGACTCAAAACCATAAAATTCCTGGAAGTAAACATAGGCAGTAAAATCTCAAACATTGCTCATCTTTTTTTAGACATATCTCCTTGGGCAAGGGAAACAAAAGAAAAAATAAACACCTGAACTACATTAAAATAAAAAGGTTTTGCACAGCAAAGAAAACCATCAACAAAATGAAAAGACAATCAGTAGTGTTTCAGTAGGTGCTCAGTGTTTTTTCCTTTCTCTTTTCTTCTGCTATTACAGGCATACCTCATTTTATTTCATTTCACTGATACTACATTTTCATCAACGTCGAAGCAACAACTTCCCCCAGCAAATAGATTAGGACTCACTGAAGGCTGAGATCATGGTTAGCATTTATTAGCAATAAAATATTTTTAAATTAATATATGTACATCGTTTTAATAAATATACTGCTAGTGCACACTTAACAAACTTCAGTAAGTCTTCACTTAATGTTGTCAGTAGGTTCTACCACCTTAACTGAAATGACATATAATGAAACTAACTTTACAATAGGCCAATTGACATATTTCATCAGTTATAATTGAACAACATTGAACAAATGATGCTATACAAGGACATACTGTGTAGTCTAAACATAGCTTTTATAGGCACTGGGAAACCAAAAAATGTGTGACTTTATGATTTTTCCTTTATAGTGGTGGTCTGGAACCAAACCCACAATATCTCTGAGGTATGCCTGTATAAACCAACACTTAGAAAGCCAGACTTGAGTGAAGTGGACACACGGCCAAGTTAATATTCACCTACCTTCTTTCCCAGGATCAAGTTCTGAAGATAAGGGTGTACAAATGCCCAAAGTACTTAAGCGTCCTTCCCAGGGTCACAGAGGCATCACCAAAAGAAATAAATATTCTCCTGACATGAATCACAGGAGCGGAAATAGCAAGTAAATCTTATTAGCTCTCATCTTAAACACTCACTCCAGGAAAACAGCCCATCTACTCCTTAGCCACCAGGCCCCTAAAACTTCCACATGAAGCCATGTATGATTGATCACTCTACTCAGCTCCGCTGGAAAGAGGGAAGGGTCTCTGGAGTCAACTATCTGCTTCACACCAAGTTTATGAGGAACTGAATCCATTGCTTACCTTCTCAATGTCTACAAGTTCAGTCTCATAAATCTCAGCAATGGTAATGTGGTGTTTGGCTGCGATTGTAAACCTTCCCTGGGGGGAAACAAAAAACAGTCACCTCACTGTTTTACCTATTTTAATGCCAATCAGTTTAGGAGCAAGAAAAAAAAGACAACTCTAAACCATTTTGAGGAGTCCACCCCACAGCCACTCAAGCAAGGCAATGTCTTACCATGTCTGTGTAAATGTCGATGGCTGCATTTAAGCAGTTGATAGCCTCTGAAGCGTAGGCATTTAAGAAAAACAATGAAAAATCCATTCAGTCAAAGAGGGTTCAAGTGAGCCTATCTTTTTGGCTGCTACTAGAACATTAAGGGGGTCCCACTTGGGGCAGAGGGTAGGCAGGTTGGTTAGTGAGAAGCAAACATGAATCAAGCAAAAGTCCAGACCTCCTCACCGTGCTCTGTGCACAGCAGCTGCAACTTAAAGAACTGGAGCTACCATGGTATTGGCTCAGCTACTCTTAACCTAAGAGTGAGGACTCCACCCAGGGGAGTGATTGCATTATGAAGAAAACAAATAGGGGTTGTCAACAACAACAGTCATCTATACCTGCTACAATACAAATGTAATTCTTCAGTGGCATCGTGTGTGTGTGTGTGTGTGTGTGTGTGTGTGTGTGTGTGTGTGTGTGTGTGTGTGTGTGTGTTCATTTTGGAAGACAGTAGTTTATAAGAAAGATGACTTTAGTAGGCTACTCTTCATGTAGCCAAATCAAAAACACTTTGAAATCCTTCTTCAGACAACTCTTAAGCAAAGTCAACATTTTGTACAATGTTAAAGGTGCTAAATTTTGGTGTACTAACATAAACACAAAAGGAAGGAAAAACCTAATAAATGGCAGTATTAATAAAGTATATAATTTTCTAAAACAGCGAGTCAACACACCATCACAAAATGGTGGTGTTTTTAATTCTGGCATTTGTTTGATAGCCCCACATTTACTGCTTCAGGAAAAGAGGCCGCAGAGTAAAAAGCCATGACTAAAGAACAGAAAGTTGATTAACAAAAAATAAAAGCAGTTTCCTCCTAAACTGTGTAAGAAATGTGGAGTCATTGTCACACCTTTGAAAATACAAAGAATGAATGAATGAATGAATGAATGAATAATAAGCAAGCAAGCTACCTATAATCCCCCTCAAACCACTTGTAGTATTTGATATGCTTTGCCTTTTGTGTTTTCTAGATGCATTTCTATGTGCACAGACTTTATTATTAATTTGAGATCTCAATTCTCATGGGGTTCTTTAGTTAACATGTGAACATTTCCAGGTCACTAAAGAGTCTCTGAAATCAGGGATTGTAATGACTACATCATATTCTACAACACTGATGCATTCTAACTATTCTCATCTTTTGCTCATTTATGGTTTCTTCAGTTTTTCGCTTTTGGAAGTAAACTGTGATCAAAATCTATGCAAAAGCCCTTGAAAATATCTTATTTTTGTATTATATAGTCATAAAATTTGGAATTTCTAAGTTAAAATGGACTGCTAAAAGAAAAAAAGAGAACTCCATAGGTAAGAGTGCATGTGTAGAAAGAAATTAATACTTTTAATCACTAAGTGTGCACTCCTCTAATTGAAAGAGAAATAACATTTGCAAAATTTTACCACTTTTAAGGAAAGAATGAAGTTGGGTACTTAAACAAATACTTTGAAAAACACTTTGAAAAGTCAGATGACTATTGTGTGAATAAGTTGATTTTAACCATTGGGTATTATAATCTCGCATTAACTGGATCTTAAAACTCAGTAGGTATTTAGGAATGAGGGAATATGGGAGTTTCCTTTAATAAGTAATATGCATATTTATAAAGTTAGGGTATAAGAAGTCTTAAATAAAATTAAAGCTAATTTCCAAAAAATTCTCCAAAATGCAACATATATGAAGTTTAAGAAAATGAAATTAAGCAACTAAACAGCCAGGGTAAATTTAACATATCTTGTCATTAAAGCTCCAAATGATTAAAGAAAAATTTCTACAGTTACCAAAATCTCTATTATTATGAAGTACAAAACTTTATTTTTACCAAGGCTCAAAAGGTTCAGCAGTATAACCTGTGAAAAGGTCACCAACATCAGCCCCAGTGACCAGTGATTTTCATCCTAGACCAGTGATTTTCAACCTTTTTCATCTCGTGGCACACATAAATTACATACTAAAATTCTGTGGTACACCAAAAAATATATTTTTTGCTAAGCTGACAAAAAATAGTTATAATTTGATTCATGCACAATAGATAGCTATTGTGTTGGCTGCTGTCATTTTTTTATGTTTATTTTTTTTAAGATTTTTATTTATTTATTTTTAGAGAGGAAGAGTGGGAGAGAAACATCAAATGTGCAGTTGCATTTCATGCGCCCCCTGCTGGGGACCTGGCCTGCAAACCAGGCATGTGCCCTACACTGGGAATCAAACCAGCAACCCTTTGGTTGGCAGGCAGGCACTCAAACCACTGAACCACACCAGCCAGGGTTGTTGTCATTTTTTGATTTGACAATCTAAGGGAAAAGAGGTCAGTGCTCCTGACTAAACAGTCAGTTATTGAATGTTTTAAAAATTCTTGTGGCACACTAGTTGAAAATCGCTGTCCTTGACAGAGGTGTGGCTTACCTTGAGGGTCTGCCTTTTTGTAAGCATTCCCAGCATCCACAAAGCTGGTAGCAGAGTCATGCTTGCTCTGAAGCTGCATATGGAGTTTGGCTGCCTGACAAAATGCATTTCCTGCAGCTGAGGAAGATAAAGTACTACAATTAAACAGAGAGGAACAAGTATGCCCACAGAACAGCTCATGCCCTAAGGTCTAACTGCTAGCCCTAGTCCTAGAAAGTTCTATTCCACTGAAAGAAAACATTCCAGTCAAAAGCACATGAAAATGTTCTCTAGTGCATCTTAGGTGTATATAAAAATAAACGGAATCAGTCAAACAGTGATGAAAATTTCTCTTAGCCACAGAGGACCTCCCAAGTGGCCCCTGAGCAATAAGCCTCCATTTTATAGCAACAGCCTAATCCTAGGCTGTTCAATTCTGTTCCACAGAGTATACTGAAGAATGACTGGCAGATTTAAGTTACTAATGTTTAAAGAAAGGTAAAAAACACTGAGGTCAAGAATATTTGGTCATCTTTCTATCTTACAGTGTCCACTGGACTTAGCTGTAATTGAAGAAAACTGCTAATGAAGGCTTCATGGACAAAAGTTTCTACAAGAGTGATAATTAGCCTACAATTATGAAGTTCAAAATTTTTTCTTAAGTTTATGACACAATATGACTGCAATTTATAAGAGGTTTAATCTGTCTGTATCCCACTTAGTCTGAAAACTCATACTACTTCCCTGCAGAATCACAGATGGATTTCGTTGTGGGGTGCTACCCAGATCTTCACTGGGACCTAGTACAACGTGAAAGATTTGTGCACTAAATTTTTTTCAGAAAAGGTTCTAGATCAGGGACTATGAATTCTGGAGTGGCAAAAAAGAATGAGGGAAGGAATGTCTAACAGAGAAGTCACACAAACAAGGCACAAATGCTCTGAGGCAAGAAAGGACTGAAACTAAGCCAAAGACAAGCCTGTGTTGCCTGTGGGAGGAGGAATGAAAGTGCAATGGCAGTGGAAATCAAGGCTGATGATGCTGAAAGATCAGTTCAGGGAAGGCTTTAAATGTTAACATGAGAAACCTGGACAAGGATGAATCTACTTCAACATGAGGTTCTCAGTTTGGAGAGAGCACAGCACCACAGCAGTGCCTCAGAAAAATGAGGACCATAGACTGAGGAACACAAAAGCCTATGGAGACACAGTTCAGTAAGAACTGGAATAGGGAAGTCAGTGCTGATAGGAATGGTGGGGAAAGAAAGTGTCCCACTAGGAAAAGCACAATTAAGGATATATCACAGAACGTTTCAGTATTTTTTTTTTTTAAAGCATTTCAAAAACATACCGAATAATGTGTCAGATGTCTAACTACCCACTGTTCGTATTAAGTACCCACTGTTCGTATTAAGTGTTTACCTTAAATTTCTTTTTAAGAGAGAAAACATTCCTTTCCATTAAAGCTTCACCTGCTGTCCCTTGTCCCTATCCCTTTCCAGAGGTAACCACGTAATTCCCACTTGAGTTTCTGGACTTTCACTTAAGAGAAAAGAGGCAGTACAAAATCCACAGCCAGCCTGCCCAGGTTTAATTCTTGCTCTGTACAAGATAGAAAGAGTGCCCAAGCAGTTTTGAAAATATTTAACTACAAGCATGGAACAGAGAATCCCTGCCCACCAGGCTTTAACTCTTTAACTCAATATTACATGCTTTGATTTTATAGCTTCATGCTCTCACCTTCCAAAACTAGTTGCTGGCTTACTTTTTCATGGAACACTCATTCTGATCACTGCTAACAAATGCCAGCGTGATTTCTCCGAACTTAAAAGTGTCTTTAAAAAAGCATATATTCAACTAAAGTCATATACCTTCTCAAGCCAAATTTCTTCATCTGTAAAATTGGTCTAATACTTGCCAGAATTATCTCTCAAAAGCTCAGTATCAAACAAATTAGCTTAATCTTTATAAAAGAACTTTTAAAACTATAGAGGTACAGTGGTGCTAGGATAACCACTGCTGCAACAGATAACTAATTTCACAGGATCTAATATTTATTCATTTACTACACGAATATCCTGAGCATCTATCATGTTGCAGGTACCAATCCAGGCCCTGCAGGTATGCAGAGATGAAACACAGAAACATCCTGGCCTTTTATGAAAAACATTCTAGTGAGGGGACAGCACATAATAAAAAAACATACACAATATAAATTAGTAAACATTTTTCACTTAAATTTCCTAGATGGCATTGCAGAAAAGGGAAGGGTACTTCCAAGAAAAATAAGATTGCTGTCTTTAAAAGGGGTGGCCAGGGGAGGCCTGAAAAGACATTTCAACGAGATAAGGGAAACAGAATCAGCCACACTCTGTTTTGTGGAAGAAGAGTGTAAGAAAGGCTCTGAGGAGGGATCCAGGTGAATGAGGGGAGTGGGTAGATGAGGTCAGAGACAAGAAGACAGGGATCAAGGTTCAGGTAGATCCTGAAAGGCCACTGTCAAGGATTTTAGCTCTTATTTTAAATGACATAAGCTGACTTATGGAATTTCCTTAGGGTTAGAACATATGATTACCAGATAAAATAAATAAGTAGTCTTTTTTATTTATAAATAAACAAGAGCACTTTTCACCTCTGATTATAGGACCTGAACAAAACATGTGAATGCTGAGATAACACATTTTTTCACCTTTCTTTCTTTCTTTCTTTCTTTCTTTCTTTTCTTTCTTTCTTTATTTCTTTTTCTTTCTTTTCTGCAGTACATTATACTTCAGGCATAAGTGCATTTTGAAAACATACAACCTTATAAAACTTAACTTATAAAAGAATTTTAAAGCCAGATAAGACCTTTCAGATTCATCTAGTTCAACAGCATTCTCTTTATTGAAATGATATTAAAGAGTTAGCCTTAAAAGCAATGGGTAAATCAAGACATTATACACCTCAAACTTACACAATATTTTGTGTCAATTATATCTCAATAAAGCTGGGGGTGGGAAGCAAATGGGGAAACCCTGGAAAGGCCAAGGACCCCTTTCTGTAGGTCATGTAGCAGGTACAAGCTGGGGCCAGAGACCATGCCCCTGTTCTGGTTGAAGGCCACCTCCATTTCACTACCCTGAAATACCTTACCATGACAAGCCCCTTTTTCTAGGGGTGAGGATAAATTTGTTTCTCAGATCAATGATAGAGGGAGACATCCCCTATCAGACCAATAAAAACAGTAATTCTGTTGATTTTTTTTTTATGTGTAATTACACTGGGTGGAAAGCATTATTTTAAAAAATGGCAGTAAGTCTGTTGGCGTTTATATAAATAACACTCCCATTGTCATATTTCTCCAAAGAACCATAATCAGTTATCATAGAGCTGTTCTCAGAGTAAGAATAGAAGTTCTCTACTAATGTTTACGTAAAGAAAAACAAGCATTTTTATTTATCCTACTTGTTTCCATTGAGTTTTACCACAACTTTCAATCTTTATGCCAACAAATTTACTTAAGCACATTAGTAAGAAGGAAAAATTACTCTTACTGTATGAAGGGGTTTACAGAAATTAAAACAGACCCAGTCCTTATGTTTAAATTTTATGTCAGGATTTCAATTTCATTCACTAAATCAGGGTCCTTTAATCCAGTTCATGGTGGCCACACCAGTTATTCAGCGCTGACACTTGGCTTGAGGCCAAAGTCTTATTCTCTAAGGGGACAGCAGTCATATCCTCCTTCAAAATAATCTTAAAGTTACCTGCATGAAAAGCAAACAAACAAAAATTGTATACATACCACTCCAGTTTTTAGCCATCTTGAACATATTTGCAGCTCTGGTATACATTTCACAAGCCTCTTCTATTCTTGTGTTTCCTCTGAGAAAAATTTAAAAATGACATTAAGTTTTACTATAACAATCATACATGTCCCTAATCCTCAAACAATAATTTATTTAATTAGCACATATAATATTATGTGCCAGACAAGTGGTATAGTAGAATCTTAACAGCTGCTCAAAGGGGATATTCTTATTCCTGTTTTCCAGATGAGGAAACTAAAGCATACAAAAGTAAAGTAACTAGCCCAAGGTCACGTAGTAAAAGATGCCACAAAACTAAGATTCAAATACTGATCTGGCTGACCCCAGATATTTACCCTTAACCAGAGTCCTCTCCATGCATGCAAACTAAAGTTCATATCAATCTAAGAAATTAGAAGTACATGTTTCAAAGGAGATTAAAATTGGAAGGATAAAGACATCTTTACCACGTTAATATACAAGAGTTAGGCACTATACTTATTCAGACTTAAAAGTAAAAACAAAACCTGAAACCAGAGCATATAAGAAAGCACCACACTGTTCTATGTCTATATTATCTGTCAGCTGTGTGGTAAGGAACAAGCCCTTCCTCAGTTTGGAAGGGGCGGTAAGTTCCAGCCACTCACCTGGTGTGGAAATGCATTTTACAACACCCTGAGAGGAGGCAACTCCACCTCTGCTTTCAAAACACACTTCTGGGAAGTTCTTCAGCAGCTGATTCCATTAAGGAAAAGTTTTAGCTGCTTATAAATTTCTTCTTACATAAAAGCCAAAAATAGCCCTCTATAACTTCCACCAGTTTTTAAAATCAAACTTGTTTTCACTAAGCTAAGGTCCCTCTATTTAAGATGCTTCTCCATCATGTCTATCCGTATTATAAACACAGAATAACCAGACATTATACAGCACACATAATAACTGAAATTGAAGTATGCACATAAAAACTAAGTGACAGGAGAGGTCAAGGCTGAAAAGAGTGGCCACAATATGAACATGAGCAAGGGCATCACATATGCCAGGAACTCAAACAGGTTTCCAACTCCAATTTAGAGGCATGCAGCTCAGTCAATATAGTCCCATTTCAGTGGAGCTGGTAGGCCCAGGTGTGACTTATACCTTAGGCAACAGTAACTACTGTGTGATGCTAGGTTATTTCTTTAGTTCTCTGGGGCTCTGTTTTTGCATGTGTTCTGAGGACATTACCTATACCTTTGGGTTATTATGAGGATCAAAAGAAATACTTGACCAAGAGTATATACTCAATCAGGATAATCAATACAATTAGATTCACGTCTCAAAGGCATAAAATCCTTTATGGACGTTTGTACATCATGTCTAATAGGGACTTGTATCCAGAATATATAAGAAACTTGTACAACTCAATAATAAAAAGACTAATAACCCAATGAAAAAATAAGTAAAGGCTCAAAACAAAAATTCCAAGTATATATACAATTCGCCAATAACATACAAGAAGATGCTCAACATTAGCAATCATGGAAATGCAAATCAAATCCACAAACAAGGTATCACTTCATTCCCACTAGGATGCCTAGAATCAAAAGGCAGGTAATAACAAGTGATAGTAAGGATGTAGAGAAATTAGAAATGTCACATATTGCTAGTACAAATATAAAAATGGTTCAGCCACTTTGGGAAACACTTTGGTAGTTGCTCAAAAGGTTAAACACAGTTACTCTATGATCCAGCAATTCTACTACTAACTATGCAACCAAGAGAAATGAAAACAATGTCCACAAACTTGTATACAAATGTTCACAATTGCATTATTCATAATAGCCAAAAAGTGGAAACAACCCAAATGTCCATCAACTGAGACTGAATAAATAAAATGTGGTATGCACACAGAATGAAATTTTATTAGACAATAAAAAGGAATGAAGTCCTGATACATGATACAATGTCGATAAGCCTTGAAAGCATTATACAGGCCCAACACAAATAACATCTTTTTATTATAAAATTCTTCATTATATAATCATAAGCATGTAATTCTGTAACATAACAATATCACACTTAAGCAAACCATATGACATTTTAGGTGAAATGTTCAAATTAAAACTATAACCAGAGGCACTGAAATAAATAACAAACTGACAGTAGCCAGAAGGGAGGGAAGAGGAGGATAATGGGGGAAAAAAGGGGAATGGCTGTCAAGGAACATGTATGAAGGATCCATGGACAAAGCCAAAGGCGGATAGGACTGAGGGTGGGAGATGGGGCTGGCTGGGGTGGAGGAAAGTGGTGGCAGGAAAATGGAGACAACTATACTTGAACAACAATTTAAAAAAAGGGGGAAAAAACTGTAAGTTATTACACCCATATTATTACCCTACCAACCACATTCAAGGAGGCGTTACTTCTGCCAGACCCTGTACGTTAAGGGAATGAGGCTGTAATGGGATTGAAGAGCATGGGTCCCCTGAGAATCCCACAATCTTTGATTGGGGAGATGGGAAGACTAAATAGTACAGCATTTAAGATACACTGCATAACAAAAGGAAGTTAATCGCCATGCCCTCCTGAAGAGAAGAGGGCTACCACCCTGGGAGAATTGTATACATGATTTTTAGAACGTTCAGGGACTCCTGACATAGCCAGAGGAGGCAGATGCCCACCCTGGATGCCCGTGTCACTGGGAACTCTTGCCCTGACTAAAGACGGCAGCCAAAAGATGATAAAAGACATTGGGAAACTGACAAAAGTGGTGGACACTAATGTATCATAGAAAGGCCTGGATATGAGATCGCATAGGAAGTTCCAGGCCGAGCATTTAAATTAGGGTGGGCTGAAGGTTAGGAAGAGAGAGCCACCAGGTCTGCAGTGGGAGAGTTCGACTGGGAGGTCTGAAAAGTCAGTGAGTCTGCCACAAGGAAGTTGGCCAGGAAATCTGTCTGGAGAAGACAGTGGCTGAGCTGACAGAGCTGCAGGGACCTGCCTAGCCACCCAGATTCGCAAAGAGATGCTTGGAGCTGAACTGTCACTGGGAATACAGAAATGCAGACTTCTGCTTTTCTGAAAGACCGTACCTCGAATGGCATATTCTGAAACTGGCCTAGTTTGGAAAAGAGAGGAAGGACTATATGTTTTTGGGTGTTTTTAAAGGGAGTGGGACTTAACAGCAGAAATCTGCCATTATTCTAAATCTGTTATAACCTTTAAAAAAGAAACCCTTTCCTTTTTCACCAAACTCTTGCCTTGGGAGTTACACTTCTTTGCGGTGGGCAATCGAACCCCACAGCATTGGTAGGGTTCTATAACAAAGCCAGTCACAAAAGAGTTCATACTGTATGATTCCATTTATAGGAAAGGTACAAAGTAGGCAAATCCATAGAGACAAAAAACAGATTACTGGTTGCTTAGAGTGGGGCTGTTGGGGAAAAAAGGAGATATGGGGGAACAACATTTCTTTTTTGGGTTATGAATATGTTCTAAAATTGATTGTTGTGATGGTTACCTAGCTGTGAAAATGCTAAAAATGACTGATTTCTACATTTTAAAGGAATTAATTTTATGATATGTAAAATTATATATTCACATATGAAAAGCAAACAAACCTTTGGGGGCTATGTCACACAGTGAATGATAGGATGGCAACAAGCCGTACCAAAAGTGCAAGTGTCAGAACAAGCAAAGCCTTCTCTCACTCTCTCCCCTCATGTTCCTTTTCCTCTACTTCAAATCAATCTCTCTCTCTCTATATATATATATTTATGTATATAATATTTATATATAAACATATCTTTATATATTATATAGACATTTTAATATAGAGATAAATGATATAGATATATATCTATATATAATTTTTGTATCTATTATATATAATGTTATATATAATTTTTATTTATTCATTTTTAGAGAGAAGAAGAGAGGGAGAGAGGGAGGGGTAAAAAGAGAGAGACATACACATCTATTTGTTGTTCTACTTATTTATGCATTCATTGGGTGATTCCTTTATGTGCCTTGACTGGGATTAAACCCACAGCCTTGGAGTAACAGGGTGCTGCTCTAACCAACTGAGCTACCAGGCTGCGGGTGTGTGGGGGTGTGTGTGGGGGGGGGGGGGGTGTGTGTGGGTTAATTTATATTTATATTTATATTTATATTTTAAACAATTAGCTAATTTCCACAATGGAAAATTCCTAACATGAGAAAGTTTCAGTCTTAATCATGACTCCTTGAGGCTAATAAAGGCTTGCCACGTTGTTAGGTCTTGTTTTTCCACAGAATACCAGGAATCTTTAACTGCAATTATAGTGCAATCATTCTTATTAAAGGCTTCCAAATAAACTTGCTTAAATACATCTTTGTATTGTTGGTTAGGTTCCCCTTATAGGTGAGATCCAGCAACACTGAAAGGAAAAGAAATCAACAGAGACAAGAGGGAAGGAGGGAGGGGGGGCGGGGAAAAGGAAGGGAAGGGGAAAGTCAAGGAACATATAGCAAGGACTCATGGACAAAACCAAAGGGGAAGAGCTGAGGGAGGGAAGGAGGGAGGGGGCAAGGGAAAGTGGTGGGGGGGAGGCAAAGACAAATGTATTTGAAAAAATTAATTAAAATAAAATTTAAAAAAAATCTTGCTTAATTAAAATGTACTTTATCCTGCTGTTGTCAGAGATAGCATGCCTACACTATGCCTGGTTTTAGGCTGAACATTTCCACATTATGTCATTTTCACTGTTACAACTATGATGAAAGATGCTATATTAATTTTACAGAAGAGAAAATTATATCTGGATGCTAATGGTTTGCCCAAGATCATTCAGCCAAGGTCAGTGATGGAGCTGACACCCAATTTCAAGTTTAGTGATCATTATAAAAATATTAAGTGAATGTTTCTATACTCTAGACCCTCATCTCTCCTAAAACGAAAGTATTTTTTTTAAAGTACTAGAAAAACTCACTTGTCATAAATACAACTTAAGTTTAAAACAATAAAAAATGTACTTTTGAAATTATTCCAAATGCCTTCTCTTTTATACATATGAAAGTTAATTTTTATAAGTTTAAGGACAAATTTTCAAAGTTCAC